TGAAAATTTACAGACAATACACAATAGTACTCTGGGAAAAGCAGATGTATCACAGACTTCCAGAGCTAGAAGTGGAATTAGAGATCTAGTCCTACCCTCTCATTTGATAGATGGGAAATGAAGGCAGAGAGAAGGCACTAAAGCCTAGTTCCCTGACTCCCAGCTGGGTGCTGTAGCAGTTGGGATTAAGTGAGCTCCCTAGTAGCTTGTTACTGTTACCACCAAAGTCTTCCCTCCGGAGTCCAAAATGTTGGTACTGTAACTCTTCCCTGTGGTGAGCTACAGTTGGTACTTGGCTGTTTTGGCCTATTCTTTTCTCCCCTCCTTTTTTAAACTGTACCTTTTCCTTTGGTCCTGTGGTCCTGGTGGGGCTTAAAACTACTATGTTCACACTAGGGTCGCCATACTACCTGGGCTGGCCAGGTGGAGTACTCCACCTCCCTGGGCACAAAGCTTAGGTAGTAAGCATGGGATGCAAACAGAGCCAATCAGAGCTGTCTGTGAGTAGTATATGGATATTGTGAGAGGGTTTCTCTTCCCTTTGTATATCACAAGCTGTAGAGATATAGGCTTTGGGCTGCAGGAACTGTCTTTTCCACTGGGTGAAAAGCATCTTCCTGAAAGAAGGCAATGCACAATGTTCAATGCTACCCATTATAATAATCACATTCCTCTTTTGTGGGAAATACCAGGTCTCTGCAGGCTTATAAAAGCAAAAAAAACCCTAACCAAAAAACCCAAACCCAAAACAAAAAACAAAAGACACACACAAAAAAAACCCAGAAATCAAAACAAAACTCAGGATGTAATTGCAATTACCTATCCTTACTTTGAGAAACAATATAGTTTTGTGGAAAAAGATGGGCTCACCAGACTTCCAGATTCCACTGCTTACCAGCTGTGCTGGGCAACTGGAGTTAATTATTTAGCTGTTCCGGCCAATGGATTGAGAAATCTTAAACGCCTAGATCAATGCCTAGCTCAAATAAATGGTGGATCCCTTCAATCAGTGTGTCCAAGCAGGACATACCAGGAGAGAACTCTTACTTTGTGGGCTTGACTAAAGCCTGTTAAAACTGATCTATTCTCACCCAAAGATTCCTTAAGGAAAAAAAGGTGGCCAGAGCAGGTCATTTGTTATTTGGACATATATCCAGAGGGAAAGGAAAACTATTTTTAGGTCACTTTTAGGAGATAGTTGCTTTTCTTCTTTACTACCAAAATCTGTTTTGCATTCAATTCCACCTCACCCTCCAGTCCTCCAAGAGTGGGTCCTTCCGGATGACTTGTGTTGATATACATCGATTTTGACTGGACAGAATACAAGCTGAAAAGATTTTTCCTCATTAACCAAATCATACTTAATGGTCATCTTTAAGATCACTGATGGCGCTCTTACATTATATATTATACTCGCACTACCTCTTACTGTTCAGAAGGAAAAGATGTGGAACCTTCCTCTTCTAGTCAAACTTAAATCCATTCTGTTCCTATTACAGGCTCCCTACTGATTCATTTTACATTGCTCACCTGGAAACACATCTGTTTGGGCATGAAGTCTACACTTCAGTGTACAAAGTACTTTACAAATATTTACGGAAGAAAAGAAACCAAATTAATAACAGTGTTAGGATGCCACTCTCCAGAGCCAGGGAATGTAATAGCCTTTAAAGAAATAGTAGAGTTAGGTGTTTCAGACACAAATTCCATTAGGTTTAACTTAGCATATAAGAACTATAAATCCAATAAGCTCTGTATCTTTTTGAAATAGTAAGGTTTCCTTACTTCACAAGGCTTGTGAAGCCACCCCCCTTCCCATCTGCAGAGTATAAAAGCCCACTGATACACAAGGGTGGTTTTAGAAAGGTCAAGGGATCAGGAAATTTTATGTCTCCAGCAATAAAGCAGAGAGAGGCCTACCTGATGAACAATAGACTTCTAGATCTATGGAATGTCAGCCGAATACCAAACGTGAATTCAACAGAGTGCAGCTCCATTAAAATAAAGATCTCAGGCATTCCCAAGTAATGGTATTTGTACAAAGTCATTCTAGGTGTTTCAGATGTAACATTAGCTTTGTTTGCTAAATAAATACTTCAGCAGATCTCTGGAAACATTAATCCAGAGTGCAAAAAACACGCACCACAGTTAAATCAAAGTCTATTGCCTTTTGTTGCATTTTATTAGCTTTTTCAAGAACCACTTCAAACTAAAACCTACTCATCTCACACCTCCTAGGGGAAAAAATAGGCAAACAGCTGGAAATTAAAGCATTGTAAAGGTTAACCCCCAGCAGGCTAATATGCACACATGCAACATGAGTCTAAGAGACTGGCATGGTTACCAAAGCACTAAGAAAAATAGATGGCTACAGAAATTTAGATAAAACAAATAGTGTACCAGAAAAAATAGAAAAATAAAGCTAATTTGATATAGTTTGAAAGATTTGGGGCACTTATCCATAAGATCAAACAGTTAACATTTTCTGGGTGCAGGCAGTCCTTTTTATCCATATCTACTGAATAAGAAACCATGTGTGACCTCCTCAGTGTTTGATGAGCATCCCCTGTGGATTTATTAGTGGTTATATTTCGGAATGCTGCTTCCACAGCAATGGAAAGACAAAACAAAGAAGAGGGAAATGTGCATGTGCTCACACATAAACGTGCACACTATATGCTGAATCTTCATGACAGTTCCAGACGAAGTCTCCACCATGGCAGCGAAGTCATTTTTAGGTAAAGCTAAATCTGGTTCAGGAGACAAGTTGTTAGGAAAGTGTTAAAAAGTCACCGCACTTCCCTTTATCTGTCAGGGAGTTGTTAGATAATCAGGATACATCTGGTTGCCAGGAATTAATTCCACTGCATCTTCCTGTGCTCCAGGATATATGGGAATTTTCTCAATCCAAAGGTATATACAGGTTCATTGAACTCTCAACAGTCAGATATAGTTTCCATCAAATTTTTCCTGTCCCCATACTACTCAAATGAACAGCTACCTCTACCAGCTATATACCATTACACATGATTTTCAAACAAGGGCATAGAGGTATATCCATCCCACCCCAACCCAGAAGGTGGTATAAGGAAGAAAGGAGAGGAACATATCCCCAGCCAACACCCTGGCCCCACCATCAGCTTCCATGACACCCTTCCCTTGTTTTAAAATTAAGTAGGTTAAAAATAAATAAAGGCTGAAAACATAAGAAAAACTGAGCAGACCTGAGACTCAGAAAGAATGACTGGCCACTATGTATGAAGTAATGGCAAGGGCAGAAAATACAGCTATAACTTGCTAAAACTAAACAAATACCTGTTATCATCCACTAGATCTTCATATAAAGGTAGCCTTATACACAAGATCCTGAATTTTGCAGGCATGTACTGTATAAGGTTTTCCAAGTTGAAAACATTAAAAACAGATGAATTTACAATACCAAGTTCTAATTTTTTCTGTTTTACAAACAGAAAACTTTTTGAAAGTGGCTTTATTTTTCTTCAGAGAAACAAACTACTCTCCTTCCATAAACATTCTCCTATTATCTTCATACTTCAGAAACAATGTTTTAGAATCAGCTCATCTTACCTGATTTATATGAAACTTCTCCAAGGTTATAAGCAACATGGAGAAACGGCTCCACGATGCAATTATATTGAAAAAGGAGAGATAACAGCTGCTCAGATGTCAGTAGCAACAGGGTTCCATTGCCACCTAATCTTGTTTCTTATCTTTTGGGAATTTGTTTCTTTGTAAACAATGCCAGTGATGCCATTGCCATGTCAAGGTAAACATGCAGCCATAACAGAAATCCTAACTATAAGGGCAATCAATGAAAAAAATTACTAGAGGCCATTTGGCTGTTCAGACAGGGCCACAGGCTGACAACACAGTCCAACGTCAGGTCCAAAAGGGCAGCTGTCATTTCAGTGAGTAGTGGAACTCACACTACCAAACTCCCAGGAGACTAATGAGCAAGGTGCCAATATATCAGTTTATAAATCTAGACATTCCATTCCTTAAGACTCTAATATGCTATCAAGTACCTTTTTCAGTTTTAAAAAACTATTCTGAGCTTTAAAATTGAGTAGGCTAATTTTTAAAAAGAGGAGCCATGGTGGCACAAAAGTTAAACACTCTTGGCTGCTAACCAAAGGTTGGTGGCTCAAACCCACCCAGTCACTCTGTGGGAGAAAAGACCTGGTAATCTGCTCCTGCAAAGATTACAGCCTCAAAAACCCTATGGGGAAGTTCTACTCTGTCACATGGGGTCGCTATGAGTTGGAATTGAAGCACTCAACAGTTTTCAAAAAGGAGGTTTTTATTTCATGAATAGAGAACCTCAGCAAAGGGAATTGGGCTGTTTTTGCAAACTCTCTCACTTAGGTTGTAGAAGAGCCTGATGAACTACTCTTACTCCTCAAAATAGAGTATCTATCTATATAGTGGTCACAGTGCTTGTTTTTAGGTTTTCCAACCCTCTTATTGATTGCATAAATAATGAAAAATGATTAGTGTATAATTCTCCTCTCTCAAGATTCTATGGGACCACTAACTTTTGTTTATCACACTGTTCTTAAAACAGATTATAATAAAATCTCTTGACAGAAAAACCAGTTGAAAAATGTCTGGCTTTCATACAGGAGGTTGACTTCAATTAAAGTTTTCTTTCTGAACTTAAACCTCAGAGCTATAGGTAATTTTTAAAAAATGGGTGAATGAATCTTTAACTATAAAATGGAGACAATTCAATCTTAAAACTCAGAATACTGAAAACATTAATAGACAAAAATTCAATGTATTCTACAGAATGAAAATGCTCAGTCTTTTCCTACAGATATTTAAAGCTAGTGGCCCCATTTTCATTAATTTTTGTTAGAATCTATGAACAGCATCTAGATTTGATCAGGACCAGAGTGAAACTTAAAACACAAAAAATAGGAATTAAACTAAACTGTGAGCAGCTGTTAAAAAAAAAAAAAGACTACATACACGTAAAGTAGGATTACACGCTTTAATCTGACTGACATGGAGGGAGGTGGGAGGACATGAGAGAAATTTAGTTTTAGTTCTTCTTTATGCATAACCAGATGCTCTTTCCAAAAAGTATACTAGCTTTTAAAAACTACGTTTTATCATACTTCAGGAAACCATACTATGTATAATCCAGGAAATGTACTATTTGCAGAATAGGAAAATTATCATGAGCAACAGAAGATTAAAACAAAACAAAACAAAAGCACCAGGGTCTTGGGCAGTTCTCAGGTGAGTATATCTGCAGAAATAGTATAAATGCTCTTGACTGGCTGCTATGGAAACACGCTAGTGAGGATTGATACCTGGTCCATATCTTATCATTTTTTTAAACATGTTTCTTTGGAAAACGGCAATATTGGCAGGGAGTGAAGCTATCCTTTTAGACACCCAGCTTATTAGCCTGGGTGAGAACAACTTTGAGAACTGGCATGAAAGCAGAGGTCTCACTGAAGTTGCTGGTGCTGACTATGTGGGTATGGATGGTTAATCCTTCTGCATAGTTTCGCGTTTCAATGCTCCTTGCAATGTTGTGTAAACCATTGATGATTGTTGGTGACAGCTGAAATAAAGGTAGAACCAAGAGAAAGAATTAAATTAAGGGAGAATTTCCCATAAGACCTTCTACAAACATTAAACCCAGATATCCAAAAGAGGCTTGGAATAAACATTATAAAAAATGTGTAAAGCATTTAGTGCTTCTAGAAATAGTTTCTAGGACCAAGCACCATTTAAGTTATAAAACAGACCATGACAAAATAATTTATGTACGGAAATTATTTATAAACTATATATATATATAATTCAGGTATTTTCCTACTTTAAAGGAAGCCAGATTTCCTCACCACGAGCTGACAAACTAACATTTCTCTCCACTTAAAAGCTTTAATTCTTCGATTATTTTAGATATAGCCTTGTATCTTTTAAATTTTTCCTTATGCACATGAAGGACGTTAAAGACTCTTAATCATATCTTCAAGGGCGGGCCCAATTTATTCTAAAGTTTTGTTTACAATACAGATTTCTAAACTTCTGGTCCACTTCCATTTAGTAGGGCAACGGGCCTCATCAGGTACTCAACTCACCAATTCTTAATTGCTTTTTATAATTCTCACTGTCAACTCTCAAAACCTGTAGTTTTTTTTTCCATGTCATTACTTGGGATATATAGCTATAATTTTAAGAGAGGACTTTATTTTCGATGAGGCCACACCACTTTCACTGTTTATATCAACTTTCATTGGTTTGGTTCTCATGAGATAAATGGTTATCTGCATCTGATAGGACTGTTGTAGGGAATAGGGTAAAGGAGTGCTGAAACACAAAAATATAAAAAGGAGTCCCAGTTCTTTTTTTCTCTCTTATCCCAGTGCTTTCATAAATAAAACAAAACAATTCCAGAAAGAAATGGAGAGGTGGGGAGAAAGAACACACACAGTGCATTCACTCCTTGCTGCTGCTATCTTCACAGTTACAGCACATTAACCTGCTCATCTTGTGACTACATTTGGCTTTGCCTTTGTTTAACAGCTATTCTAGAGAAAAGGAGGAGGAGTTTTAGACTATGAGAAAGATTATAGATTTGGTCTCTGGGAAATGGAGTATGTACCCACTCTCTAATTTCTTGATTCAAGGGACATATAAAACATACAGAAAAAGGTCAATCACCTTAGTGCCAATACAGGCCAGTTTGTATTTGTTGTTATGAGAAGGGTTAAAATTACACACACACACACACACACACACACACAACTCCTATACTCTCCTCCCCAATGAATGAAATTTAACATTTAAAGAGCAAAGCTCATTCTTAAACTGTCATGACAATTATGCCCCTAAGCATACTAACTGAGGGTGCTGATGAGACACTTATTTTAAAGAGTTAGGGGCCACTTGTGTGCTAACAACTAGGAATAGATGATTATCATAAATCCTTAATTTCCCCAAACTTACTGTCTGTTCCCTAAGTTTATCATATAGAAACTCCAAACGTTTGCTGGCATCATCCAGCTTCCTCTTGGTTTGCTGCAAGAGAAGAAAAACAGGTATGTTATATTTGAACATTTTATCCATAAAAACTTGCCCTATCTCATTTTACTAAATCTTACAATAAAGATGTCGAACAGATTCATTTTTTAAAGAAATGGAGGCAACTATGACCAAGAAAGGAGCCCTGGTGTTGCAGTGGTTAAGCAGTCAGCTGCTGACCAAAAGGTCAGCAGTTCGAACCCATCAGCTGCTCCATGCAAGAAAGATGTGGTGGTCTGCTCCCATAAAATTTAACCTTAGAAATCCTATGGGGCAATTTGACTCTGTCCTGGGGTTGCTATGAGTCGAAATCAACTCAATGGCAACAGGTTTTGGATGACCAAGAAACTTATCCAAGGTTATTAGAACAGAGATCCAAAAAAATGCCCAAACCAGTTGTCCCTGAGTTGATTCCGACTCATAGCAACCCCATGTGTGTCAGGGTAGAATTGTGCTCCGTAGAGTTTTTAATGGCTATGATCTTTCTGAAGTAGATCTGCAGGCCTTTCTTCCATGGGGCCTCTGGGTGGATATGAACTGCCAACCTTTAGGCTGGCAGCTAAGAGATTAACCATTTACTCCACCCAAGGACTCAACAGAGATCAGAACTCTTATTAAACGGGGATGAGATGTTGCTTGGATTTCACGTGGACTGCAAACTCACTTGACAAAGTGTGTGTGTATGCAACTGCACTATATCCATCTAGAGGAAGGGCCATCTAGAGGTAGCAATGGGTCAGTGTACTACAGAAAAGAAGGTCTAAGTACAGTTATTGTAGATTATGCTAGAGGGAAACATCTCGGTGAACTGGAATCTTGTTTTAACCCTTCAAAAATACTATTTATACACTTAATCACATTTGGTATGTTTAATCCTGCCTCTTTCTGACCCTTTAAAGCACCAAGGAAAAAAGAAAATTATCTTCTAGCTACTTATGATAACTAGGAGGTAAGTAGTAAAATGAGTTCTTAAATTCAGGATTTTTTCCCTTATCTATTACTATAACCATACAAAGAAAATAAACTGAACTCATTGCCGTTGCATATATAGCGATAGTGAGCAGAAACTATTCCAAAACTAGAATGTAAGATTTTAGAATTACAATATAATTAACTTAATGTTAATGTCTATTACACAACAGACTTAGGAGTGACACCATTTTTTCAATGTTCCTTGAGTGCCAACTATGTCCCAGGTGCTGGGTACACAGTCTGCGTGTCAGGGAGCTCACATTCTAGTGGGTGGGGAAAAGATTCTAAATAAATAAGTAAAATATATGTCAGATGGTGATAAATGCTGTGAAGAAAAGTTGACCGAGTAACGGTAAAGGGGCTAGAAGTATTGGGGGTGGGTGTTACTTTACAGAGATGAAAAAAGCCTGACAGCTAAAGTGACATTTTAGCAGAGACCTGGAATGAGTGAGGAAGTGAGAAATGCAGGTATGTGGGGGAAAGGTTGAAGAATGCAGGAGGAAAAGAAAATATAAAGTCCCTGATGCCAAACATCTCTTGGTGTTTGAGAAAGGAAGGTCAGTGTGTCTAAAGAGGAGAGAAAAAGAGACATGGCCATCAAGGAATAACATTACAAGACACTACGTTGTGCTACAGAATTACTTTGTACTGTTTGGACATAAATAAAAATAAAGCCCTGGTATAAAAATTATTCCAACTATTGATTAAAATGGACTTTTGTGTAGGGTAACTCTTATAATCCATGCTCAATGTTAATCCCATCTAGCCACCAGCAGGAGCCCTACCTCAAGGGGTTGGGACAACTGGATAGGATATTAGAACTTCTCCCTCAACTAGTTATAGAGATTACATGAACAGTTTGGTTTGTCTGGTTTCCTTCTTTCCCAGGGCTCCTGGGTACCCAGAATTCCTTAAGGGAAGATGGTATGGTGACCTGTTGTTGTTAGTTGCCCTCAAGTCAATTTCAACTTACAGTGACCACATGTGAAAAAGCAGAAGTGCCCCATAGGGTTTTCTAGGCTGTAATCTTTACAGAAGCAGATGGCCATGTCTTTCATCTGCAGAGCCTGTAGGCGGGCTAGAAACGCCAACCTTTTGGTTAGCAGCTGAGCACATAACCATTTGTGCCACCAGGGCTCCTAGAGGAGGTTAAACTCAACAAAAAGTTATGAGCTAGGCCGTGCACTATGTGTCCTCCCAACTTCTCTATACTGACTCATACCTGAAGAAAGAATGAAGTTTTGCCACATTCTTATCAGGACTCCTCTATTTTTGAATGACTGTGGCCTGTCTGGAGCCCTGGTGGCGCAGTGGTTAAGAGCTTGGCTGCTAACCAAAAGGCCAGGAGTTCGAATCCACCAGTCGCTCCTCGGAAACCCTATGGGGCAGTTCTACTGTGTCTTATAGGGTTGCTATAAGTCGGAATCAACTCAATGGCAATGGGTTGTTTTTTTTTTTTTTAATGGCCTGTCTCTTTAGGGTATGCATAGGGGATAGTGTAAATCTAGTTATCAGCTTCATATGCTCCTTTGATTTCCGGTGTGGCCTTTCCATTACTCCCAGAATGCCAGATGCTAAGGTTTATGTTAACCCTTCTCTGCCTCCATTTTCCTGACACTTGAAGTGTAGGGAATTGCTCTCCACAAGACCAGCAGAAGGCTGCACATAGGAATCCTCAATACTTGATGAAACAACAAATTCCAGAAGCTGTTTTTTAAGCAGACAAGTGGCCAGTGTCTAAATAAACATATTCAGTGTTTGTTGGCAGAAACTGAAATTTCATCCAAAACAAGACTGGCTTTGTGGAAATTTTGCTGTTGCTGACACGCAGGCATCCTTACCAAGGAAAATAAGTTACTTTAACTATATGTCCAACATCTAAAACACTTAACTATTTTTAAGATATTTGCAAAGTTATGTTAGCTTAGGGGGAAAAAAAAAATCTGAGTTTCTTGTCTACCACTGTTATGCTCTGTTTGTGTCTAACATGACGGATATTGATGAGAGGCAATACAGTACAGTGGTTAAGAGTATGGATTCTAGAGCCAGACTGTCTGGGTTCAAATTCTAGTTCTGACCTTGAGTGTTACTTAACTGTTCTTTGCCTTAACTTCCTCATTTGTAAAATAAAGATGACAAATCCATCTCCTATAGGGTTGCTGTGAAGATTAAATCAACTTATATATAAAAATCAATTTATTTTTATATATTTATACATATATGCATATATGTGTACATTTGTATATGTAAAACAAACTGTAAGTGCTAGCTTTATTACCTTTGTAGAAATTTTTTAGAAATATATCTTGTAGGACTTCAAGCAATAACTACAGAAACGCTCCATATTTTAGCTATGCAAAATGAGAGAAAAAATACATACAGGATCTGTGGCTGAAGAGAGGCAGCGCTGAATGAGATCCTCAAATGTGGTCTTTAGAATGAGGTGCTCATTTGGAATGGGTTTCTTGGTAATTTTCTCTGTTGGCAAAGACTGTACATGCTGGAAGAAATAATGGTATCATAAAATGATCAGAAATGACCAGAAGCTACCTCTACATAAAGCTTTATGTGATAAACAGAAACCAACCACCTTGTACATAGGCTATTCAAAATCAAATGAAATTTTAATATGTAAAATCACTTGGGTTAAGTAAAAATGAGAACCAGAAATCCAGTAGAAGGTACTTCTCCTATAGCTTGAATTTTCATGAACAGGATAGAATATAAGTAATTGATTAATTAGGGAACACATATTGACAATTAATGTATATAACTGCTGGGAAGTAAATCCGTGCCCGCAAGAAATAAAAAGAACAAGGCACTGGAACACACAGCTGGCTGGTTAGAGTGGCTGCTTGCTCTGCTTGTTGGCTCATTTTTGTTTATGTTGGCATTTTTCTATTCTTTGGTTTACTCTTGGAGGTTGTTAACTGGTCTATTATCAAAACGGCAAGATTAAGCCAAAGGTTAAGACAGAAGAGATCATGATGTTGCTGAGCGTATAGATAGAAGAAAAACAAAGAAGCAACATATAAGTTCTGATTTATTTGTTTATTCATTTGTTAGTTTGTTTGCTCATTCATTCAAAAAATATTGGGCATTAATTATGTGCCAGGCACTGGGTTGGACACTGGATAGGTAATGATAAGCTGACATAAAAGTGATCTCAGCCTTCAAGAAGTTTACAGGCTAATGGAAGACACAGAAAGTAAATGATGTCATAAATGTATACAAAATAGCAAGTGTGATAAGTTAACACTTAGTGGAACCAGAAGACAATTTAACTAGACTTGACGGCAGGACGGGGAAGCTTTCTTGAGGAAATTGTTTCTGAAGGATAAGTAGAAGTTAACCAGTTAAGTGCAGAATGAAAAGCATTCATGACAGAAGAGCATATATAAAAGAAGGATCACAATACAAGGGAATAAGAGGATGCCAGTATGTCTGGAGCAGAGAGAAAGCAAGGAAGACTATGGTCTGAGGCCTTCCAGACAATGTTAAGTATTTTGGTCTTTATCTTGAAAACAATGGGAAGCTGTAATGTTTTTAGCAAAGAGGAGACAAGAACACATTGAAGATGGATCAAAGTAGATACTGGCAGACCAATTAAGAGTCTGATGCACAGTGTAGAAATGTAGAGAAGGAAGTACTGAAGAGTTATTTTACAGTAGTATCAACAATATTTGGTGACAGATTTGAAATAGGAATTAAAAGATGATTCCCAAGTTTTTGGCTGGATGAAACAGAAAGGATTATGGTGCCATTCACTGAAACAGGAAACACTGAAAGATGACTAGGCTTGGGAGAAGAATATGATTTAGGTTTTGGACATGTTGAGTCTGAGGTGCCTCAGACACATCAAGTAGGCATGCAACTGGATATATGGTCTGACTGAAGACAAACATCTATGCAGCTCTGCCTTTCGAAGGTAACTGAGGTTCTGGTTCTATGAGTACACCACCAGCACCAGGTCTCAACAAAGGTGAGTGGCTGGCTACCTTCCCAAAATAACTTGACTTATAATCATAAAAATAAATAAACAATACATTCTTTACTATTCACAACCTTGCAGAAAAAGCAAGTCTTCCCACCTCCATCAAAATACCTGTTTTATAAGGCAACTTTTAATACTGAGAAGTTCATTATGCATAACTATCTCTTTTTAGCAAAGTATTCTCTTGTGACAGAGATACAATGTTTACAAATTTGACTTCAAGGAGTCAAAGAGAGTAGAGCTAGTTTCTACTTGGGTAAGAGTTTGTTTCATCCTCTTAGGATAACCTTGACCCAAGTTTAGTTATCATGAAAAGATGAATATATTTATCTTTGTCTAAGTCAGTTATATGAAAAAGTGTTAGATTTTTCATCTTCTAGGACCTTGCCAAAGAGCCATTTGTATGTCAAAAGCCAGTAAAAATTTTTATCTCCATCCAAAGATAAGGCTGTATGATTTGCTCTTACTTATATACATGGTAAGATATAACTCATCACATTTTTATTTTACATGTTGGAAACAGCTTCTGCTTAGCAACTCAGCATGCAGAGGTGATTTAACTGATCTTAAATTGTGCCTAGTGATTAAGTCAAATGAAATATTCCATATGCCAAGTTATAGTAAACATACACAATGCAAATATACACTTTTCTACAGAGTTTGTATGTGGCCTTATAATTGAAAAGACAATATATAAATGGTCTATCTTTTAAAAAGGGTTGCCATTTTTTATTTAGTTGAAAGCAAATTTAGATATATATAATCATAAAAGATAAATACATTATTTTTTAAAATTAATACATTAAAGGAATAGAGCCATCTCCCCATTCTACTTCCACAGATTTACTGTTACCTGGATGGTATTTCCAATAGGAGCCCCTGGGGCGCCTTCGATATTGGGCTTTGAAAATGATGGTGGTATGCCTGGTTGACCAAGGGGTTGCTGTATGCCATGGAAGGGCTGGCCACCTGAAAGATGTGGCCGTGAGAATGAAGCTTGGTTTGACAGTGGTACTGGAGCTGAAGGTTGTTGCTGCAGCATCTGTGACTGGGGGTCACCCAAAGGGTTCATGATTGGTGATGTGATGGGAACAGGAGGCATAAAGTTTTCAGGCATCTTTTAAAAGATGGAAATAAAAAACATCAAGAGTAAGAAAAAAAAGGATAGCAGCATTTCCTTAGCTTTAAATAAGGGAGTTAGACTATATCCATGGTTAAATTATTATTTAATAGTAGTAAAACCCATTTTTCAAATGAAATTTTATAAAGAATTCTAGAAAAAAACATACAAAAGTAGAGCTAATCTGGTTAAGGGGTCTGGGGGGTGGGGTAGGAAGTTCAAACCCAGACTTCTGTCTCACCTTCCCCTCTCATACTTTTCCTTATAATGGGGAGCCAAAACTGTGGTGTTTTTGAAAAGGGATGTCAAAATCTGGAGAATTCTATCCAGCAATACCAGAATATGGAGTATCAATCTTGTCAATTCAATCACACTAAAAGTAGATCAAATTTCTGTGTTGCTAACCTAAATTTGGGGCAACTAGGAGTTAAACAACCAAACAAACAAATGTAGAAAATGGCTTGGGAAGAAAGAAGAATCTTATTTTATGCTCTTACAGCTCTCAACAGTTCTTGACATCTAAATAATGATCAGCTGTAATGCTATTTCTTCATTCATATTATACAACCAATCTTCATTATTTGTGGATTCTGTATTTGTGAACTTGCCTATTCACTAAGATTTGTTTGTAACCCCAACATCAATACCCACGGCAGTTTTGTGATCATCGTGAGCATACAGAGTGGCAAAAAATGTGAGGTGCCTGATGCACATGTTCCCAGCTGAGGTCAAACAAGGTGACACGTTGTCTTCTTGTGTAGCTCTCATGCTGTAAACAAGTGATCTTTTCACAGTCTACTCAGTGTCACATTTTTCACATTTCTGTTGGTGATTTTGCTGTTTAAAATGGCCCCTAAGAGTAGTGCTGAAATGCTGTCTAGTGTTCTCAAGCACAAGAAGGCTGTGATGTGACTCATGGAGAAAATATGTGTGTCAGATAAGGTTTGTTCAGGCATAAGTTATACTGCTGTTGGTCTGGAGTTCAATGTTAATGAATCAACAGTATATCTCAGATTAGGTGTCTTTAAATAGAAACATACATAAAACAAGGTCATGTATTGATCAGTTGATGAAAATGTGATCAGCAACAATGGTTCAGTACTTGCTAATTCAGCGTTGGCAGCAATTTTATAGAACCCAACTACCAGGAATAATGAGACTTTACTGTATGTGATAAATAGTCCAAAATATAATTACCAAATTCATGAATAAAACTGAAACCCAAAGACCAAGGTAATTCCTAAAAAAAAAAAAAAACCCACATCATTTGAAAAGCCTGAAACTGTGTTTCATACTTTTTTGAAAGACGCCTATTGGGAATTCACATCTTGCCTCCTAAAAGGGCTTTCTTTCATACTGCCATCATCAGACTGAGGCTTTTCTACTTTCTTTCTTTCCTATTAGGTTAGAAGATGTGTGTTGAAATACACTAGTCAGTAGCTTTGCCTTTAATAGGACCAGTGAAATTTGGTGTGCTTCAAGGGGCTACATGATTAACAGCATCTGTAGGTAATTAGACGGACAGGCATAAATCTTTTTCTAGTACCTTCTTCTTGGGTACTCTGTTCAAAGCTGGAGGATCATTCCACCCATTCTGAGGACCTACAACAGATAAAAGAAGGCATTTTCCTTTAGAATCCTGAAATGAAGAAAATGAAATTGTATCCATCATATAATACCTTCAAATTCTGCCTTGAACCTGAAATAACTGTCACAAAAGGTTTTACCAGCTGAGCATGGGGATGTCTATGTAGTCTTGGATTCTCAAACTCATTACTTCTAACAGTCACAGGCCTTGGCTTAGGAGACAAAGCATCTTGACATTATTTCCATTTAAAGTGAAAAAGCTGTACTAAATTTATGCATACAGAAGTCTTTATACTGGTATATAACCTTCAAAGATCAGTTTACATTCTCACCTAATAAAGAAAAATGAAATCACTTGAGTTTGCTAAAAAAGACTTCTAATATATTCAACATACAAAAGAATCCAAAGCATCAATCTCCTATTTCTGAAGAGAGCAATTCAGTATAATCATTCATAAATGATAAACATGGTTTAAAAAAAAAAAAACAAAACTAAAAAACAAGAACAAAACAACCCTCAAACCCACTGCTGTTGAGTCGATTTTGACTCCTGGCAACCCCATGTGTTTTCAGAGTAGAATTGCGCTCCATAGGGTTTTCAATGGCTGTAATCATATGGAAGCAGACTGCCAGACCTTTCCTCCCTGGTGGTGCTGGGTGGATTCTAACTGCTAACCTTTCGGTTATGAGCCAAGAGCTAACCATTTGCACCACCCAGGGACCTAAACATGGTAGAAATACTGTTTAAAAAAAGGCAAAAACAAACAGAGCTTAACTGCATGACACCAATAATTTTTATCATCTTTGCTTTGGGAATTACTCATAAAATAGACAAGCATTCAAATACCTGTGCTAAGATTTTTTTAAAGCCACATGGGATAAAAAAAAAAAAAAAAGTCCAAGCTTGCAACAAATATAAAATTAAACTTCAGTCAACTTCAGTAAGTTTCCTCTCTTTAAAACAAAACTGTCATCTTAAAGTGCAAAATATAAAGCTATCTGTACTATTATGTAAATTCAATCAGTTCTAAAATTTGATTCAATTAAGAAGCCCAAGGTAAAATGATACTGATCAGATTTAGGATATCAATTAGCTTTGAAGTTCGCATGCATTATTGTGAATGTCCATTCATTAATTATATTCAATGATTCAAAGATTTCTAAAGGCATATTTTATAACCAATTCACCTTCCAACATAGGTGCCTGGTCTTGGATAGGCTGATTTTCTGTAGACAAAACGTAAATGTCACTTAAATAATATTACCCCCAAAGACATTCTAAACTCTTATTTTATAATAATTTCTTCTCCCTTCCTCAACCCACAGAAAGAGCAAACTAATTTTGTAAGTGAATAAAACTTACTTTTTAACCAAGTCATGTGAAATGCCTTCTTTCTAATTAAGAAAGTAATCAGTTTTGGGGTATAGTGAACTCATTTAAGTTGTGTCAGATCCAATTAACTCGTAAACATTATTTTCTTTTCTTCATTTTATCCCTTCTTATTTAGAACAACAGTATTTCCCTAATTGTTTGCATAGATTACTTTTTAACTATTTGACCAATGAAGCCCAATAATATCACTGAGGGAACAGCACTTCCTATCATGCTATATACATTCTGGTATTATTTAATGTTGTGAATCCAAGTCACTTGGAGATCTTGTTAAAATGCAGATTCTAATCAGTAGGTTCTGGGATAGGACCTGAGATTCTGTATTTCCAGGCTATCTCCCAGGTGATGCTAATGCTGCTGGTCCAAAAATCTCATTAGGTAGTAGGGATTTAAAGAGAAATGGAGGAATTATTCTACACTGTCTTACAGACTTCTGCACTGCATTTGTTAAAGATAAAAATGTTAGACAATCTTAACAGAGTGGTGCTACTTTTCACTGCTACATTTGGGAAGTTCCAATGGCCTGCATTCTGTAGAAACTATGATTTCTAGGGTCACATCATGAATAAGTATAAATCAGAACAGGCCCAGTAAATATGTAACCATATCATATGGTCCTTTCTGTAAATATATGGATTTGCAGAGGGATTAAACACAAGTTCCCCTGGAAAATCCTACTTCTCTTCAGTGAACTGAAGTTTCTGGCAGTGGAGGAGAGGAAAGAAAGCTGCAAAAATGGGCTCAAACTGTTATGGATTGAACTGTGTCCTGAAAAAATATGTGTTATAAATCCTAACCCTTATATCTGTGGTTATAATCCCATTTAGCAATGGGTTTTATTATGTTAATGAGGCAGTATTAGTGTAGGGTGTGTTTTAAATCAATCTCTTTTGAGATATAAAAGAGCAAATTACACAAGGAAACACAAATGGAGGGAAAGATGGCACATGATCATTAAGGAACCTAGGAATAGAAGCTGAAAAAAGACAAGGATTTTCCCCCAGAGCAGATATAGAGAGCCTTTCGCTAGAGCCAGCAGCCTGAATTCAGACTTTCAGACAAATCTGTCTTGGAAGAAACAGAGACAGAATGCTCCTTAGAAGCAAGGATGGCGAGACTTCATCTCATGTAATTTGGACATGTTATTGGGAGGGCCCAGTCCCTGGAGAAGGACATCATCCGTGGTAAAGTAGAGGGCCAGCAAAACAGAGGAAGACCTTCAATGAGATGGACTGACGTAGTGGCTGCAAAAATGGGCTCAAACATAACAACGATTGTGAGGATGGTGCAGGACTGGGCAGTGTTTCGTTCTGTTGCACATAGGGTCAGTATGAGTCAGAACGAACTCAACGGTACCTAATAACAACAGACTTCTAAACTGTGAGAAAATAAATTTCTGTTTATTAAAGCCACCCACCTGTGGTATTGCTGTTACAGAAGCACTAGATAAGAAACAAACCAATTCCAAGATTGTCAGATATTTAGAGTCAGGCTAGGCTCAGGCTCAAATCAAAAGTGTGCAGTGTAGGTGCATCATATGCACGTATATGAATTTAACTATCTTCAGTTGGAGAAGGAGGAACAAGAGAAAATAGCAATTGAAATAGTGAGTTCAATTCAGTTTGAGTTCTACTCAAGCACATGCCCCAGAGAAATTGTGAGGTGGGAGAGGTAATCTCATAGCATGAACTCTCATTGTGCTCAGTGTGATCATAGTGTTTACCGATAGACATTTTTCATAAAATACAGACCCTAAACACAAGCCAACTTCTTTATTAGGGGCTTAACTGAAGAAAAGAATGATCAAGGATAATTGACTGTAAGTGATTTTCTGTTTTTACCTCAAATGATGCCTTTACAACTTAACTCCCCATGCAAGATATAACTCCATAGCACTAGTTAATACATACCTGGGGAGTCTCGTGTGTGTGCATTAGTAAGAGGATCGGACTGTGTGTTCAGCCCATATTTTACCTGATTTGCAACTACTGATGCACTCACTCTCTAGCATCAGACTTCAAGCTCTGGGAATACCCTGGGCTTGGCCCTTTTTTCAGGGAATAGTTTCAAAAGCATGCCCTCCTCTCTCACCCCATGAGAAGAAAGAGCAGATGAGTGCAGTTTTTTCTCTAACCTCTTGTGGCGTGGCAGTGACTTAAGCCCTGGGCATTAAAGCCTGAGAGAGTATCCTGGTTCAACAAATTATTATCAGCACAAAGAATCTGGGGAGAAATTTCAATGACCCCTTGGTAAAATACACCAAAGTCATATAAATGAAATCAAATTTAAAGTTAGTTCTAAGTCGAACAGGAGAGAAACCTAATGAAATCAGAACCAGACAGATTCTGCACAGGAACATATAGCCAACTAGCTAACTTGAAGAAAGGGGGAAAAGTCTGCTGACTAGAAGGAATAAATGTATAATAAAGTCCTAAATATATGCCTGACTCCTAAACCTCAGACCATGGAATAGATTAGCCATATTTTACTTCAGCCTAGATGATACCTGTTCACATCGCTTTATCAATTCAATGCAGAGTTTTGTCTTCACTCTAATTCTAAATCCTTTCAATGTTTTTGCTTTTATGACTTTAAGTAGGTTATTTGAATATGACATTTTAAAAACACAATTCAATTAACCTCTACATTAGGTAAAGCAAGCTACACAAAGAACATGAATATCTACAGGACGCGGTACCATGGAGGTCCATTACAGATGTGAAAAATGGTACTCTTGGTCAATATTAAAAAACAATCAACATAGCATAGTCTTTAATATTGGATATAATTTTCTCATAAAAGTGTAAAGACGAGATAATCTTTTAGTTAACTCTTTTGAAAAACTATAAAGGGGACAAATGTCTGTCTTACTCTTTTTTAAACATTACATGAGCTTAAAAGCATGGAATAACAGTGCATGGTATAATATTAAGAAAAAAAGCAAGATGTAAAGTTGTGTGTGTGTGTGTACGTGATATCCCCATTCTTTAAAAATGCATACATGTTAACATAGTTTATGAAGAAAATGTTCTACATTCTACTTTGATGAGTAGCGTCTGGGGTCTCACCCCTTTGGGAGGCAAGGGAGAATGAAGAAAACTAAAGATACAAGGGAAAGATTAGTCCAAAAGACTAATGGACCACAATTGCCACGGCCTCCATCAGACTGAGTCCAATACAACTAGATGGTACCCTGCTATCACCACTGACTGCTCTGACAGGGATCACAACAGAGGGTCCTGAACAGAGCTGGAGAAAACTGTAGAACAAAATTCTAACTCACAAAAAAAGACCAGACTTACTGGCCTGATAGAGACTGGAGAAACCCCGAGAGTATGGCCCCCGGACACCCTTTTACCTCAGTAATGAAGTCACTCCTGAGGTTCACCCTTCAGCCAAAGATTAGACAGGGCCATAAAACAAAATGAGAGTAATGGGGCACACTAGCCCAGGAGCAAGGACCGGAAGGCAGGAGGGGACAGGAAAGCTGGTAATAGGAAACCCAAGGTCGAGAAGGGAGAGTGTTGACATGTCATGAGGTTGGTAACCAATGTCCCAAAACAGTATGTATAGTAATTGTTTAATGAGAAGCTAGTCTGTTCTGTAAGTCTTCATCTAAAGTACAATAATAAAAAGAAAGCATGCATGCATGCACACACACATATACATATGAACATATATGTACATATATGGTTCTGATTTAATTCAGTTTCACTCCTACTTAACTTAGAACTCTGAATTTGATTTCATTATGACTTTGGTGTCACTTTACCACGAGGTCATCTGTTTTTTATATATATATATGTATGTGTATGTATATATACATATGTATGTATGTGTATGTATACATACATATGTATATACATATATGTATGTGTCTGTGTGTGAAGAAAATAAATTAAATTAATAGTGGTTATATTTGGGTGGCAGAACTATAGGTAATTTTAATTTTCTTTTTGGGTCTTTCAAATATACTTCCTACACTGAAAATTAATAAAAGGGAGAAATTAATTTTAAAAAGTGAATATGGCATATCACTGAATACTGTAGACCCTTATCCACCTTAGTGTAGACGTTAGCACTCCACAGGATCTTTGGGGAAGGGAGAGGGAACTGCTGGCCTGTCATGCAGGTGTGGAACTACACACCATCCTAACTCTCCAAGTCCACTTCTCACCGGAATTTTCTTAGACACTCTTATAGGAGCATAACGCACTGGCTAAGATACTTTTCAGCTGACTTACAGAAAAATATTAGTGCTGATGGCATGAAGACTGCTGGCTAGAAGATAATCTGAGATGGCAAGATTAGAGCATCCGTATCAACCATATACCACCGCTTTCCCCTCCAGTTCAGCATGTCACATTTAAAAAGGGAAAAGTCACAAATTTACAGAGCACAATTTAAAAAGACATGAACTCTTGAAGTCATTTTACAATGACACAAGATAAAATGGAATTATCCAAAGAAAAGTAAAGAAGCTATCATGCTCTTTTCCTTTATTTGAAAAGTTAAAACCAGGTACTATCATTTGGCTAAGGAATGTTTCTGGAAATTAAAAAAATTTTTTTCAGAACATTGTTTCATGAGATATACAATATTATGCCCCTTCAAGGCTCTTCTATGTGAAGAAGCAGAAGAGAGTACACCTAAATTTACATTTCCATTGTTTAACGAAGTCAATAATGTTCATGCAAAGACAGCTTCATGATAGTGTCATCATTTTATCAGAAAACAAATTTTGAGTAAAATCTGGAATCTGTATATTTGAAAGTGCTTTCCCTTATTAGGAAGCACACAATACACCAGGGACCCCTGATTGGCAGTATCCTTCTTATCCTAGATAGTGAGACAGGGAAAACTTCCTGCTTTCCTGTGCTTCCACCACCACAGCAACACTGCACTAACCTACCTCAGGCTAAGTTCTTGCGCTTGCACTTAAGGCTCCAAAATTAGGCCCAAATACAGATTTTATATTCCAACTTATATTAGGGCTGTGAACTGTTCTAGAAATGTACTGCCCTCTTCTGCCTCCTTTCCACCTCGTCTGTCTGGAATAATTCTGATTACAGACTGAACAGTTACGCAGTAAGAATTTACCGAATGAGTGTTTTGCTGACTGCAACATTAGCTTCTCTGAACCCTGGGCATAAAATTTTGTAGTTTACTAATAGTTAGAGGGCTTGAAAAATCTGTATTGTCTGCCAGGAATTATTCACTGGACAAACGGAATTTCTAAGTCCTGTACAGAATCATCACCTAAAGTATTAAGATACATTAGAACAGAGGTAAATTTTTCAATCATAATTATTTATATCACCTGAGCAAAAGTTTTAGAAAGTCTAAAAATAAAATATAGTAAAGTTGTAACTGTTAATTAAGATATAAGACTGTAAACATGCAAGAGGTAACAGAGCAGCTAGGCTTAGTGCGTGCCAAATACTGAAAAATGTTTGGCTGCTTCATATTAGTCACTGTTTCTCAGCCAGGTTAGAACATTCTGTCACTTTGTGTATAAGCAAAGATTTTTATCTCCTGGCCAACTGCACATAATTTCTATTAATTTTTGCTTAAGGAGAAAAAATAAACATGCAAATATTTAACTGAGATGATGAAGTAATGATTCCTAGAACAGTGCTGCTAGATGATTTTTGTAATTCCATCAAAGACAGCTATTTCTATCATCCACATCAGGACTAGACTACCTCGTATAGAAGAATGAACATGGGCTTTGAGGACTGAGAAACCAGGATTTATATCTCAACTCAGAGACAACTATTACATGCAGTCCTGAGAGCATCACATAACTCTTAGCAGACTCAGTTTCCTCAAATACAAGGTTTTTAAAAAATAATTATTCCTGTATTTCAGGGTTGTGAGGCTTAAAAAAAAATTAAAAAAGGCAAGTGCTAGTATGTTTCTAACATATCACTGCTCAATAAATGTTAATTCCTTTCCCTACCTCCCTGCACCACTTCTTAACTGGAGAATTACTTGAACCCATGTTTCCTCTTTCTCTCAAGAACTCTAATTATTACCCAACTATTCAGAATGAATACGGTCTTCACTCATTTAGATTTAAAAAGATAATCTGCAGAACTCTACAAATGAATTACCATTTCTCTCCAAAATATGAAACTATTAAACTATCTGTAGTATATTATTGAAATTTTATTCATGCAGTAAAGGATGATGCATATAATGTGTATATGTGTGTGAGTATGAGATTTTTAGTACTTTGGACTTTAATACTATATATCAAAGAGAGGAGGAGATATGTGTATAATTCTGGGAACAACTATCCATAAAATTTTAAAAGTACTAACATTTAAAAAATATTTTATATCCGTATCTTTTTTGTCATATTATTAGAAAATAACACTTCTTCCTGATCATATTTTATGATAGGTGCTTTCAGTAATTAAAGCTACTGCTTAGCACATAAAAAAAGGAAAATATATACTGGACTCTCAGGAACAGCAGCAGGTTATCATTTAGCCTGCTTAGTAGTAAGGGCAAAGCAGGTCTCGCCTCATCTTTTGCCCCTCTAGTTCAAAACCATCAGTTATAATCTGAAGGGGGAACTATTTTCAAATGCTAAAAAGCACAGAGCTTCAACTCTGAATGAGGTTTTCTGTAATCACAATTAACATTTTTAAAAAAGTGCTTACGACATAGCGGTTATTGTCCCTAATGCTTTTAATATATTAATGCATTTAATCCTCTTTATGAGCTTATGAGATAGGTACCATTATTCTATGAGGAAACTGAGGCATAAAGAAGTAACTTACTCAAGTCACATAGCTAGGAAGTAGTAGAGATGGGATACAAACCTAGGCAGTCTAATTTTATACTCTTAACCAAGACATTAGTGGTTCTCATCCCTGACTCATTATTCCTTTTATAGCACATATTTTTTTAGGCCCCTTTTACTATACTGAAATAAGAATCAGATAATATAATCTATCCATAAAAAGGTTAAAATAATGCTTTAACTGTAATATATAAGAAATAAAGAATTTATGTAACATATTTCACTATAAAAACAATTTATAAAGTTATGATTTTAATTTGAAATGTTCATGTACAACTACAGTAAGGGATTAAAAAAAAAAAAAAGCCTAGAAATTTCCAGAATGCCCTAGAGGGCAGTATCACCCTAGTGGAGAATCACTGCACTATTGTACACTGACTTTCCACTGTCTTACAGGCTCTCTCTTTGTCCGAGTTGTGTTCTCTAATTTTTTTCTTATTGAGATCACTCCTTACCCTTACAAATATAAGTAATTATAAAATTTGTAAAGCCTCATTAAGACCCTGTACTGATTAATTTCCATGAATGAGTTTAAGCCACAGATAGTTTTATAAATGCAAAACTTCTCAATAAGAACACACTTTGCTCAGTAAAGAAATTAGTGTCAATTAAATCTGGTCCCAAACAGCAGTTAATTGCAATTAATTTCTTACCAGTTATTTTAGGTGCAGTGGCAGATAATACACTCTTACCCTTTTGGAGCTCTACAGCCTTCCTCATTTAGCAACTAAAGTTCATTACGGGAGAATCACACTTTTAGAAATACTTTTAGAATTAGTTCTAAAAACCCCATCAATACCTCACACTATTCAGTTTACAAACAGAGATAATTCTCCTCCATCCACCCATCCATCCATTCATGAAAATATAAAGGAAGTAGCCAAACCAAATCCCTTTCAAGCGCAGACCTGTTCTTTGGGACGCAGGCAGCTCACTGGCATCAGGCAGTGTACCTGTTGTTCCAGGAGGCAGTGCATAAGCTGAAGATGATGGTGGAGCTCCTGGTCCGCCATGCTGGAAGGATGCTCCAGAGGAAGGGGGAGGAGGGAAAGCAGCAGCAGGGCTGGAAGGAGGTGGAGAGACTTGGTGCTGTGCTGCATATAGCTGAGACTGCCCAGAATAGGAAGAAGCAGAAGATATGTAAGGGGTGTTAGGGTAAGTATTTGAAGCAGGAGGAGCGACAGGCTGCTGAGGTCGATACATTGCTGACCCCCCTGTTCCGAACGAATACTGCTGGGCTGGCTGATAAGCTACACCGAGGAGAAGAAACAGAAATTTTAATTAGTTACAAGTTTATTCAAGCACAAAAAAAAAAAAACAAAACGTTATCTCATTCCATGGAATTATTTTTAATCATTCTTCTTATAACAATAAGCTACAACCAAAAGCTAGTACTTATGTTTTTGATGGTTCAGATGCCCTAAATGTACTTAAAGTCATTAGGTCCAATATTTGAACACTGCCATCCCCAAGGTTGCTGCTGGCTATGAAAGTCTTTGAATCATCAGACCCAAGAAGTGTGAGACTAATCCTTTGAGATTTTCCTGTTCCTGTCAAAAAACTGTAGTGACACCTATTAGCCACCAGATGGAACAATGCTGGCATTACACATCCAAAGCACTCCCTTTACAGTAAAAGATTCTGTTTGGCTGTGGCTCAAAGCCTCCCCTCCATAAGAACTACAGGGTGAGAACTATTATTACAAATCAAGTATCTTCTCCAACATCCAACAGAGTCACCAGCTACTCAAATTCTGAGTTTGAACACAGTTCCAAACCACGAGTCAATGCTCTATGATCCCTGATAAAACAATTACTATATTAGACATACCACATGTAATTGGTTAGTAAGCAATCAGGCAGCAACTAATTTTTTAATGCAAAGAAGTAAACCCAGATTTAAAAAACCAGTTACTGTCAAATCAATTCTGACTCATGGCAACCCCATGTGTTTCAGAGTAGAACTGCGCTCCACAGGGTTTTCAATGGCTGTGATCTTTCAGAAGTACTGTAGATCACTAGGCCTTTCGTCCAAGGCACCCCCGATTCGAATACCCAAACTTTCGGTTAGTAGCCGAGCACGTCACCATTTGCACCACCCAGGGTCTCTGAATTCAGATTAGAGAGATCTTAATACCATCACATTCTGTGTGACCAGGGTAAGTATGAATCTCTACAGTGAATTTAGTAGAACTATACCTGTTTCCTATCAGTACTCTGAAGACAGAACTTTTACCTTAAGCACGAGTGAAAGGTTGCACCAAATTTGTATCCATGTTAAGTAAGAACATCCATTGTAACACAGAACATGCTAGTTTGGATTAGCTCTTACTAGACAGTGGCCTTTGTAGTAGTTATTCAGACATATCATTTTCCCCTGAGGGCTTATTATTCCCTCTCCATTTAAATTTCAAAATAGTGATCATTTCTTACTTTCCAAGTGAATACCTTCTTAAAAAAAAGAAAAAAAGTCCCCTAAGAGCATTTTTTCCAAAACTGGCTTGTGTCATTTTTCCTGAAGAATATGTATAAACAATTTCAAAAATTCTATTTTTTAATACCAAAATCATGGGACAATTGACTCTCTTTAACAGGTCTTAGCAATAATCCCAAGAACAAGAACCAACTGTTCTGAACAGACTGACTTAGGGCACTGCTTCTTATCAGCATGTTGGTTAGGCTGCCTTTTTGGGAAACCATGTTTCACTATAGCAGAATCCTATACAGAATGGTTCTTTCTTTATTTGTCAAATCTGATGTGACCATGGATTTGGAGCTTCAGAGTAAATGCTTACTACATTAGATAAGACCTGCTGCTATGAAAGGACTTCAGGGTCACGCTACTTACGCTGTGGCTGTGGATAAGGCGGTACCTGGGTGTGCATATGACCTGGAGATGTGGGCAGCTGAGCAGTATTTGGATTAACATTTCCATGCATTATGAAACCTGGAGGTGGAGGATTTTCTCCCTAGGAAATGAGAATATGGTAAGAAGGAGGATTACATTGGGAACCAGGAACTTTACCAGATGGACTTGTAATTTCCTAAATGGAATTCTTATGTTTATTTAAAAAAACAAAAAACTTTATTGCATTCTGCACATTCTATCTTCTTCAGAACACCACACTTCCTGAGCAACATATTTTGAGTGATTTTAAAGATAAGACAGGTCCAAAGTAATATCTGCAATGAATGGCAGTAGATGCTAACAGCCTCATAAGACTGAGTGTCAATGATATTCATAAGTCACCAGGGTTTTCCATCTCTAGTAAATCCCATCCACTAGTCCATAATCTGAAAATATAAGTATAAATGCCATAAAGGGAACTTTGACTTCTCTTCAATTTCTACAATGCACAAAAAAAAACCAAAAAAAACAAACAAAAAAAACTTCAGGGAAATCAGATTTTTAAACCATTGTTAGAATTTTGGTTGATGCTTTTCTAGCTCAAGTCAATTCAGAACTGCAAAAGGAGGAAGAGGGGTAAGGAAATGAATTAATTGTGCTAAAAACTGCTTCTTGCATCCTAAAAGCATTAAAATGCAATAAGCAGGCAGACAGGCTTGGAGAAAGGCAATTTGAGGAAGGAGGGTTAGTGAATATATACCTATATATAAATGAGCAGAATTCTGCTCAGAGAGGAATAATGAAGGATATACCTGTGTGTCAGAGGGAGAGGCTGCAGGTGGATGGCTGGGAAGGGCAGTAGGAGTTTTGTTACTCCAGGTAGTGACAGTAGGGGCAATTCTAACCTGAATTGAACAAAGAAATACCAATCACAGAAAATAAAAAATGAAAACATTAAAAGGAGGGGGAAAAAAAAAAAACCTAAAAAGTATTAGTTGCCAGATGCAAAGCAAAAAATAACAACAAGAAAGCATACATTAGTCAAGCAATTGCACTCAGGGTAGCTGGAATTTCCAAAGAAAAACATAACACTCAAACAAAAAGGAAGGGAGGGAGTAAGTGGAAAGTCAGTATGAAAACTTAAATCAAAGCACAAAGAACAATGCCATTCAAGTGTCAAGAATAAGGGGGAAAGCTAGGTTCTGTAAGTAGGGAAGGAAAGAATACATTCCAGAAAAAAAGATAATTGAGTAAAAAAGTGATTTTTAAAGCATTAACAGTATGCATGCTATCATTAGATCTGTAAACATATTGTTATTAGCTCCCTTTTCTGGATTTCATTAGAGCCACAAAAATCATATTAGTCTTATTTGAGGCTTAAAAATCACACAATCAGAGAATATTAAAGCTGAAAGGGCATAAAGCATCATCCAGCCTAATCCCCACCCTGTACCACTCGAGAAAACCAAGACCCAGAGAGTAAAGGGACTTGCCAAGGCCCGTACCACTCACTGAACTGATTCTAGGTCTCCTGATTCCTAAGCCAGTGTTTTCTACACCACACCATGTGGCTTGCCCTAGAGTCCAGTGGTTTTCAAGTTTTTTAAAAAATATTTTTGTCAAGTGAATCTTTGTTAAAACTCTTATATGTGCTTGTTGACGTGGGGATGGAACTCTTACTAATCTGGCCTCCCTTTCACCCCTCTACCCCTGCCTATAAACACAGTTTTAAAACCACAAGCCACTGCCCTCATTCATTCAACATATAATAAATGGTAATCAAGAAAATCACTATGATTTATTTTTCTTTTTTTAATATGTGTGACAAGTCAAAGTATAACAAAAGTCTTTTATTAATGTTTTTACCTTTCTCCAGAAAGACAGATAAAACCCAAGCACATAAAGAGTAAACATCCTCTTCTTCTAGAGATGTAGAGAATGCCTTGCTTCAGTACCCTGAGAGACAACGTGGTTTAACACAAGGTACTTGGGGGTTCTAATCCCAACTTGGCCATTAACAGACATGCAACACTGAGAAACTCAAGCTATGTGTCTTAAAACTCTGGTTGGTCATTTGACCTCCCTACTTCTAAATTTTTCTGACCAAGATATTATGTGCCCCACTTATTATGTCATAGACTTTTTAAGTCTAGTGTAAGCTCCATGGGGGGAAGGGGGCATTTAGTCCATTTTGTTCTCCAGTGTACCCTCAATAGCTAGAACAATGCCAGGCACTCACAGTAGGCATATTTATCAAATGAATAAAAAAATCAAAGTAGAGAATATTTTACATAGTTAAGCTATATTCAAATATAATCTAGCCTGATTAAGTACCAATCGAAAGTACAACAGACATAATTTTTTTTTTTTTTAGTTTTTCATGATTTTATATTTACTTTTGTTACAACCAATTGTAAAAGGACCCCACCAATCCTATCAGCAATTTGTTCTATTTTAAAATAGGCAGATTACCTCTTTACCATGTTATCAATCAGGACCATTTGTTACTTATGAAAGAATACTTTTCATTTTAGAACATGAAGGTTATCTACTGGTTTCTAAATGAAATAGTGAAAGACAATAAGAGGCTACACTTTATGCCACTAAGCTTTTGGTAATTTTAGTACACTAAAACATTTCTTCTACACTATTTTCTTCAACGGGGGCAGCTATCTCTAAAAATTTTTTCACTAAATTTTATTTTTTAAAAAGTTCTTAATTTTCAAAGTCCTAAATCCATAAAGAAACAATTTAAAAACAACATAAAATGTTTTAAAGATAAACATTTCTGGGCAGTAACATTCCTTTCCTTCTACTTGTCTATACTTTCTCAATCATGTACAGTGAATATATGTTACTTTTATAATTTGGGAAAATGCTTTTTAAAAATCATGATTACAGGTACTATCAACTCAGAGTAAAATCCTCCAATTTTCTGCAAAGACACTTATGTAAGATTATGTATCTTAAAATACCATAGCAGAAACTAATAAATTCAAAAGACTAGAGAAAATAACTGATTGACAATGACACAATAAATATCAATAACCTCTTTATTTCTTGCTATGACTTGCTTTTTTTTTCACATTCCCCATGACCTACAACTTCATAAACCTTGGGTCAATTACTTCCCTCTAACACCCAAAGACAAGATTTGTACCCTGGCAACTCTTTACTATTCTGATAAAGAAGACACACTAAACCAATGTTAATGATTTAGAAAAAGAATACTCAAAAAAGACTATTTTCTAAAATTAACTAAATCACCCACAAGATTGTTCCTGTTATTTACTTACCGCTTGTTAAATCAATCATATAGTAGATGTTTCAAGAATATTATGTATAAGGAAAAATTAAGTGATGGAAAAATAAGGTGAAATCTCCCTAGAAAGTTAAAAATTCATTTATATTTAAGATATAATCTGCTTGACCAGATTAAAAGGATGATTTAGAAAGGCAGATCATAAATACTATTTTTATGAATCTAGAAAGTACACCTACTAAAACAATATGATGTCTAGCTTTTAGCATATCAGAGAAGGTCTTGTGTCCAATAATCTAAAACCATCACTTTCAATGTTGTTGGTTATTGTTAGGTGCTGTCGAGTCGGTTCTGACTCATAGTGACACTATGTACAATAGAGTGCAATGTTTTCCAGTCCTATGCCATTCTTACAACCATCGAATAGAAATACATAAATGTCCCCACTTCATCTGGGCCAGGTCACTCACATGAGGATAATATTGTTGAGCTGGAACTCTTGGCATCTGTGTGTGGCCAGCAGTTGGTCCAGGCCTGCCCTTGGGCAGCTGGTGCCTCTCGTAAGGAATTTTGGGCGTTTCGTGTCTTGGTACAGGCTCTCCTTGTGCTCTACAAAGTCTGTCACGAAGCTGCACAATATTTGCCTATAAAGAAGCAATGGAAGAAAACAAAGCAGATCGTTGCGGTTCACCTAACTATATGACAGCATGATGGTTTTCTGAAAGTAAAATAAAGAGATCATTCAAGAGACCCCATTTCGTTCATATGCTCAACGTTCATGGTTACAAATATTCAAGAATGACCTTGAATTTGTAATTTAACTGAGGCAGAAATCTGAATTATGCCCACTGCATGGTTGGTATGCAAGGTCAAAGTCTTCTGTTGTTTTCTTGTGGTTTGAATAATTCTTGCAAAACACACACGTAATTAAACAACAAAAACACAGCTTTCTTTTTAGGTCCCAAAAGAGAACCAACTGCTAAAGATGGTGATGGAAGAAAATGGTTATATAAGACAGAGATGGAATTTAAAAAGAGATGTTTGAAATAAACTAAAAGAGTAAGATGTTAAACTCAGGGTAGCTTGCAATGTGATAAAATGTTTCAGCAAGAATTGATTTTAGTATTTTTAAAATTTTTCTACTGCTATAAATTCATTATACATTTAAAGGGTCTGTAAAAAACACAACATATCATAGCAGACTGACGGCAGAAGCAGATCTGTAAATCCAGCTGTCCTCTACTAACCCAGACATTAAAAAAGACTTGCAAAAATGTAAAATAATGCCATTCTTCTCACTAATTTTTGTTTTAGAAAAAATAGTTTTTTCATAAAAATATTTACATTAACATATAATTGGTTTATTATTGCTATTTTTAAAAATCAATTAATAAACACTTATTCAAAACTTCAAAAAAAAGTTTGAAGGGTCATTTAAACTTTTTAGGCATACTTTACAGCTTCATGGGGGAGAATTATAGGCTAGAATGATATGTTCTTTAGAAGTCCAAAGAAAAGCAAGAAGAATAACATACAGAAAAATGTATGTGGTTATAAAAGGTACTAAAAATAAGGGTTAGAGGGTCTTAAGGTGTTACGATAAAGGGTCTTATATCTCAATATAATAATGAAACTTCATTAAGTAAAAAGAAGTCTTAAAAAATCACTATGCTAACATCACCATAAACAAAAAGACTATGTTTCTATCCTACCTAATATTCTTATTAACAATTTAGAAAGATACAAGCTGAAGTCAACAGCTAAGTGTATACAAAACCAACTAGAGAGCCATGCCACCATAGTCCTAGAGCACATAAGCATTTTTACTCAAGGTTTAGACAGAATTGATAGAAAATAAAATTTGTTGATAATTCTCTAGAACTGACAAAACACTGAAAACACATGACTAAAATAAATCTATTAAAAACAGAATAAAGCTAATAATAAAAATAATGAAACAAGAAAATATATGCAAGGCTCAAAAGCAAGCTCGATCAGACACATAATACACTGACCAGATATAAATATCATACCTGCAGAAAAGTCTCCACAAATCTCACCCCAACTCCTACCCACGCTCCATTACCAGGGTTAAGTTCCCCTCTTCTGGGTGCTCCCATGGCACCACTACCTCTATCATAGTAATTATCACACTTTCGGATTTCCCAGGTTTACTTGTCTATAGCCATCCTGCATTTGTAAGCTCCCTGAGGGGCAAGTATCTTGGCAATCTTGTTCATTGCTATATGCCCAGCCACTTGCTGAACTGAATTAAACTGAAATAAATATCATGAAAAAGTCTGAGTTTCATTATATACTAAATAAGTACAATAAATTAGAAATGAAATGTAGTTCCCTCTGCATTGAATACTTTAAAAATATACTTGCCCATGGACAGTATAATAATGAAATGGCATATAGGATGAACTTCTTCATTAACACCTGGGCTGGCACATGTGGCAATTTAAAAATCACATCATGCAACACAACCCCATTTGTTCAATTAAGCATCAACGTTTATAGCTTTCTAACATAAACGATTCCTACAACAAACCTTATATGCAGAAACAGCATTTGGCTTAAGAGACAAAAAGCTTTTTTTTTTTAATCATTTACTTTCCTCAAACACTATGCTCCTTAGTAAACAGCGATCTCTTAGATTATAAGAACAACTTAACTCTCTGGGCACACCTAAAATGATCGCTGAAGAACAGCCAATAACATTCACCTAGAGTTAGGCGATAGAAATTCAACTGCTCCAAAACATTCCTCTATTATGTTTATGTCTAATACCAAGTACTATCTACTGGATTCATACACTAAAAGAAAGAAGAAAAATTGCCAATTCTAATTACCTGGTTGGTGTTTTCAGGAAGAAAAGCCAGGGCTGCAGCAATACTGCCCTGAGCTGCTAACAAACTGGCATACTGACTCATCTTCTCAGCCAAAAGTACACCTACAGTACTAGTGTCCATGGTTTGAGTGAGTTGTACAGCTTTTCGCAGGATGACGACTTTCTCGATCAGATCCTAAATGAGGGGGAAAAGAAAAGATTGTCTGAAACAGAGATATTGAGACCGTGTGTATATAAAACAAAAAAGTAGGAAAAGCTAAAGAAAAGAGTTACTAAAAATTTCCAAAACCTACTAAAAGTACAATAACTACAACAAAAAGGCAAATAATCCAATTAAAAAAATGGGCAAAGAACTTGAACAGATAATTTCCTCAAAGAAGATGTACAAATGGCCAATAAGCACAGGAAAAGATTTTCAACATCATTAGTCATTAGGGAAATTACAAACCAGAAAATCAAAACAGAACACAGCAAATCACAACCACACTAAGACACCACCTCACCACCTCTCAGAAACCAAAAAACCAAATCCGTTGCCGTCGAGTCGAGTCTGACTTATAGCGACCGTATAGGACAGAGTGGAACTGCCCTATACAGTTTCCAAGGAGCGGATGGTGGATTCAATCTGCCAACTTCTTGGTCAGCAGCCAAGCTCTTAACAACTGTGCCAGCAGGGCGCCTCATCCTCTCTAGGATGGCTATTATCCAAAAATTTAAAAATAAATAAATAAGGGAAAACAACAAGTGTTGGCAATGACATGGAGAAATTAGAACCCTAGTGTATTGCTGGAGGAATGCAGAATGGTGCAGCCACTGTGGAAAACAGTTTGGCGGTTCCTCAAAAAGTTAAACATAGAGTGCAAGGACAAGGCGGCAGGAGGGGACAGGAAAGCTGGACAAATAGAAATGGGGAACCCAAGGTCGAGAAGGGAAGAGTGTTGACACGTCGCAGGATTGGCAACCAATGCCACAAAACAATATGTGTATTGTTTAATAAGAAACTAATTTGTTCTATAAACCTTCATCTAAAGCACAATTAAAAAAAAAAAAAAGAAATGGGGCTATGTATGAGGGTGATTAAAAAAAAAAAAAAAGTTAAACATAGAATTACCATATAACCCAGCAATTTCACTCCTATGTATATATCTAAAAGAACTGAAACCAGGGACTCAAAGACATACTCCTACATCAATGTTCATAGCAGCATTATTCACAATAGTTAAAAGGTGGACAAACTCAAATGTCCATCAACAGATGAACAGATAAACAATGGAATATTATTCAGCCGTAAAGAGAAATGAAGTTCTTGATACATGCTGCAACACAGATTAACTCTGAAAACATTATGCTAAGTGAAATGAGCTAGACCCAAAGGACAAATGTATGATCCCACTTGGATGAAATATCTAGAGCAGACAAATGCATAGAGACAAGAGTTTTATTAGTGGTTACCAGGTGCTGGGGAGAGGAGGAATGAGAATTATTGCTGAAGGGATACTGAGTTTCTGTTTGGGGTGATGGAAAACTTTTGGAAATGGATAATGGTGATGATTGTACAACATGGTGAATGTAATTAACGTCACTGAATTACACACTTAAAAACAATTAAAATGGCAAAATTTATGTTATATATATTTTACCACAGTAAAAAAAAAAGTATAGTACCTATTATCCCTCTTCGAAAGGTCCAGAATAGTTCACCTCTATTTAGGTATTTAAAACAAGAGGAAGGCCTCTTACTCATCAATAAGGCATAGGTTACCATCTTCTCCTAAACATCTTTCAACTGCTAGACACCTGTCTTGTGAGCTAAAACAGGCAAATATCCATTTGAACCAAGTGATAAGTAAAAGTCTGAAGGCAGCAAGCAGGTTCCAGCAGGTATAGGAGGAACTGTGAGTGAAAACATTGTATTGTCCATACTATAAAAATCTTCCTACTCTGAAGTGACCCACAGACAAAGGCACATGACTTTTGTCTAAATGGGCTTACCATTTAACCTGAAATTTTTCATGTTGTTCTTAAATACCAACTCTTACTGTAGTATACAGATTCATAAGTGTGAAACAAGTGTGTTTTTCCCCCAGAAGCACTTAGCAGGAAAACCGTGATTTCCTACTTGGTTTTCTGCTTTAATAAAAGACCTTTAAAGCAACAACTCTACTGAGAAAATCTCCTTCCGAAAAGAAAAAGGAAGTATTACGCTGAAATATGATATTATGCCTCCCACTCCTTACCCCACATTGCTTCTTCCCTTAACCCAGGCAAGTAGGGTCACTAGAAGCAGAAAGAGGAACAGGAAGGGGGTGGGGGGTAAACCCTTGCGCTGTTCTTAGTGCCTTACTGCCTACTTCCCCCCAACAAACTGCCAAACCACAACCTCAATCTCACAAACTGCTGCAACACCATTTCAAAAGATGATACATATAATTATCTAGAAAAAGAACTTCTAGAACGTAACTTATTAGCAGTGCAAGCAATGAAGTTCTAGAACAAATAAACTTCTAGAATATAACTTGATTGTATGTAGGCAGAAAGAACACTAAAAACTAAGTACCTTTTGTTTCAAAGATACTAACCTGAAGGGACAAGGGGTTGCTTCCATCTTGAGCTTTAGTCCAACAAGCAACTAGTTTCTCTACATTCCCTGCACAAATATAGCAGAGACATGCCTGAGTCTGCAGGAGGCTATCACCTTCACTTTCAAGCCTGGTTCCCAAAAGATCTATAGATCAAAAGGAAAACAAAATGAGATTATACTCAAGGCAATCTATATATGAGGTCACGAGCAGCCTAATAGTAATTTCAGAAGTACGGATTAAACTTCACAACCAATGAATAACAAGGAGAAACAAAATCACTGTCACACAGTAAATGCTCAGTAAATACTTCTTTGCTAAATGAATAGAAGTGGGTGACAAATTGTATATAATAAACTATTTCATCAGATTCTACACTTAGCTGTATAACTGATTTCTGACAGCTATATTTAAAAAATAAAAAGGAACAATATGTAAGAAAAAACCCTAATAACATTTCATTCCATTTCATCACATCACATGTTTTCATAAACAGCAGACTGAAACTCAGCACATTTGAAATAAACCACCAAATGACAGCTAGGTCTACTAGAAATTATTTATGATTAAAACAGTTACTATCATGTAATTTTTGTATCCTCATAATACTTTCAAGCTAGCAAATGACTGTTTTCATACTAGCAGCCTTACAGCTCCTTTTTGCAAATAATGAATATTTATTCCTTAGCCACCAGTTTAGTCATGACCTTTAATGGTAATTTCTACTCCAATGTTATAATTACTACTTTTATCACTGCTGTTGTTAGTTGCCATAGAGTCAGCCCCCGACTCATGGCAACCCTATGCATAACAGAACAAAATGCTGCCTCGTCCTGAGCCATCCCCATGATCGATTGCTGATCAGAACACTGTGATCTAGAGTTTTCATTGGCTGATTTTTTTAAAGTAGATTGCTGGGCTTTTCTTCCTTGTTTGTCTCAAACTAACACTTATTAACTGAGAGCTGTTTATTATGCAACATTTTACAAATGAGTAAACTGAGGATCAAAAAGTAATTTTTCCTAGGTCATACAGTTAACTACAGGCAAGGACAAGATCCAATCCTGGTCTGTCTGAAACCCAAATCATTAAACAATATTTTTACAAATAATGAATAGGTATGGAGAAGTAATGTATTTAACAATTCTGATAAAAGTATTCAAATGATAACTTTTTTTTATTTGTAATTAGTAGCTTAACAAAAATGTCTGAAATACACCATGCCATATTTGTAATGTATTAAATGTAAAATTCATTTTCTTACCACAGAGGGCTGAAAATTCATCTGGTTTAGCATAAGTCAATATGGCAGCTAAAGCCTCTCTCCAGTTGTTAAGGTCACAAGACTCAACAATCTCTTTCCAGTTCTTCATCACCACTGCAGTGATCAGCTTGGGAAAGTAAAACAAAACGATAAGAATTAAAGTCTTTTATATATTAATAAAAATTTTAACTGTGGCTAATTAATCCTATCTTTTAAAACTGTTACTCAGAGTATTTTATGCAGAATAAACCAGCAGCAAAGTGTAGTATATCTTTGAACCAACTGAAATAATAGATGGTATTATTTTTCTTTCTTCACCAAAAAAAGAACCCCACACAAACATTTATAAAGTGCTGAGAAGGAAAAGTAAGAATTAGCTTTATCAAGAAGGAGACTACACTGCAGGCCAAGGGAACAACAGATGCAGAGTCCTGATGGAGAAAGGAACAAGGAATGTGTGAGAAACTGAAAGACAGGCAGTGTGGCGAAAATACAACAGGGGTGGGAGTGACATGAGATGAGGCTGGGGAGGCTGATAGGAACTCAATGCTGGTGGGACTGACTACTGGTATAACTACAGAAAGTGATTTAATAATACCAAACAGGAGCCATAAAAATGTTCAAACCCTCTGCCCCAGAAATTCCACTCCTAAGAATTCAGCCTAATTCAACAATCACAAATTTCCATAAATCTTTAGGTACAAACCAAAAAAAAAAACAACAACAAAAAAAAACCACTGCTGTTGAGCCAATTCCGACTCATAACGACCCTACAGGACAGAGCAGAACTGCCCCATAGGGTTTCCAAGGAGCAGCTGGTGGATTCAAACTGCCGACCTTTTGGTTAGCAGCCAAGTTTTTAACTACTGTGCCCAGGAAGGTGTTTATCACTGTGTTATCTATATTAAGAAAATATTGGAAACTAAACATCTAAATACAAGGGAATACAACCTTACTATAGAATATTACAGAGCAATTTAAAATTTTTGTAAGAACTTTTACTGATGTCAGAAAATGCTTACAATGTAATTAACAATATCAAGAAACAAAACCACACACACACATATATGATCCTGATTCTGATTAAAAAAAGTTCTACAAATACAAAGTAGTATGGAAGGATCTACACCAATCTGATGGCAGAATTAAGGAACGTTAAAACTTTTATCTTTAAATTTTTCTATGCTTTAACTTTTCTACAATGAAATAAAAAAAATATTTTAAATTATATATGCAAAAGACAAAAATTAGAATAATCACACCAAAATGCCAACAATAACTATTTCTGGGTCACGAAATTATGAATGAACTTTTGGTCTTTACCGTTTTCTGTATTTCAATTTTTTATAATAAGTATATTGCTTTTATAATCAGAAAAATAAATATGATTATCAGTTCAATAGTTTAAAAATAAACTGTTGGTTTATCTTTAAAATAACATACCCTGGTAATTTTGCTTTGGGATTTTGCAAAGTATTTTTTCTGGGTTCGAGCCAGGAGTTCTTGTCCACCTGCTATGGCCAATATAATGGCATCTGCCATGCGATTATCATGTAAACAAAGGTCAACGGCACTCTCAAAATTACCCATCAGTAAAGCCTGAGTAATTAAACCATCAATATCTGCAACAAGGAGATATAATACATCCAAGTTAAATAAGGTTTTTTTGTTACCAAGAAAAAAAAGTTAAAAAAAAAAAAACACTACACGCACACACACACAACAGAGAACACAATGCTAATTTCTGAATAATATTAATGGTTGATTAATTTCCAAAAGAAGCTGCTGATATTTATAGAAGAGATCTATGGGAATATACTGAGATATATGTAAAACAACATGTTTTCCAGAGTGCTTAAATTGGATTAATAAAGATCACTACACAGTTTCTATCACTTAGGTCTGACAGAAACACACCACCATTTCCAGGGCTCTGATTACATATACTAAATACTGACTGAATTCTTCTTTATCAACTTTCTACCATCTATGACAAAACATTTCTAACTTAAATTTAGGGATTATTTGTTATGCTTTCAACTGGTTTAAAAAAAAAGAAAGAAATCAACACCGACAGGTACTTACCCCCACTGACGGAAATATTAAATGTTCCTCCAGCTGAGGGTAAAAATTCAGATTCTTGTTTTTCTTCTTTAATTCTCTAAAGAAATGGAAAGGGTAGAAATTTAGCTAGAATAAAACTATGAAATCATTTACTGGTAAAACAAATCTATATATGATTATTCACCTACTGACTAGACGACACGTTACGTTACTCCAGAAAAGTTCTCAGATCCAAGTTTTCACTAAGGTATATAACAACTTCCCTAAGTATTAATTCCCATCATATAATCATAAATAAAATACAAGGTCATCAGAAATAATGTTAAACAAATTTAAGTGTAAAGAAAAAAAAATTTAAGTGAACGTGTCCATTACTGGTAGCCCAGAAATTATTTAAGCTGAAGAATCTTTGTTTTCTAAGATACATCAATTAAGAGTGGCTTGAAATGTGCAAAATGTACATTTTTTAATTACACTGTATTTAGATTTTAGAACAACCCTGCTTCTACACATTTAAAAATTCCTATGCACTAAGTTTAGTTATAAGGTCTTTTTATTTTAATTGAATCAGTCATGAAAAAAAATCACCAGATGTCCTTGGTATATTAGCAGTACAAACAGATTGCTTATGAATATACTCAAATTCAATTATACATTGTGTTCTAATTAGTCATACCTGGAACAGTAAGAAAGTCTAGAAACAATATGTGTAACTCTGCTATCAATTTCTGAGACTACTTACAAGACTGATTAAAAATAAATTCAGTATTTTCTTTCTTCAGAAAAAAACAAAGATAATGGAGGCATTTCACTGGCAAATATTTTAAATGCTTTCTCTTTCACACACAGAAATTCAAAAGACAAAAAAAAAATTACCAAAAAGGTTAGAAATTTTTAAATAATAATTTAGCTCTCCTGCGTTAGATAAAATACCTTCTGTGCTTGTGTTATTTACACATCTGAATGTAAGCTCCTAGTATTCAACATCGGGGCATTTTTGGATAGGGGAATTTTAGTGCACAGCATCGACGGTAAATAATGCCTAATTAATTAGCATTGATCATTATAGAAGAACGACTATAACTCGAATTCCATTTCCCCAAGTAAAGAGAAGCATTTAGGAATTTATCAACTTAAGTAGAAAAACTGACAATATTAAGTTATTCACATTAAAGAATACATCAGAGACAGTGATCTGATTATATTCACTAACAATTAAAAAGTACTTTTCCTTTTTTTAACAGTATTTTTCAAATTTGCTTTCTAAAAACAACAAACCTTTATGGATTTCTGAAATATACATAATAAAGCCCAGAATGCCACAATTTATTATGTACTGAATACCTTTTAATACGTAAGCTACTATGTTTGATAAACAAATAATAGTCCCATTAAGGAGAAAATTTTTTCTCTGAAACTACACATTGATGACTACTGTTTTTATAAATACCTATTACTATTAAATTTATGAGTGTATTCTCTAATGTTCCTCTATTTGATAACACAGTTAATCTAACTGTATATAATTGAAAGTACATTCTTTCAATTTAACTAACTTTCTTTTAACTAATATAGTTAAAATTTTTAGCAAGATTTTATCCCTATCTTTTGTTCCTTTGTTAAATAAATGCTAGAAGTTCTACTTCTTAAGGAAAATGTTTTTTATAATCATATTGTGACAGTTTAAATTTACTGATGAATTATTTTTATAATTTAATAAAACATTTTAAGAAATATTCGAGAAGTCAGGATATCCCCGTACCACAAAGAACAATGAAAAAGTCAAAGGTGAGATGCGAAACAAGAACTTGATGATCACTTTCCCAAGATGAAATGCCATTGAGAAAGTAAGAAAAGGAAGTTACATATTAGTGGTTTAAAAAAAAAAGAAAACAGAAAATTAAAAGGAAAAAATTAATGAGATAACTCTGTGTTCAAGGACTCTTTTTAACTACAAAATTGCCAAATAGAACTCAGGACTAGTTTTTAGCAAATCATGACAGATCAGTGAACCATTCGTAAGACTCAAAGCTTAGGACTAATTCAGAAACCTATGCCACTCAGAGTGGGCCCTAAATATTACTGTGTCAAGAAGAAAACATTAACTTTACATGCAATGTAATGTGGATTTCCAAATAAAATCTTTTTTCAGTTTGACATCCTGATATTTATCCACCAAATAAAGTCCAACTCACCTCAACTGTTAATTTTAAAACATCTAATCCAGAAGCTAGGTCAAAAAACTAAAGCATTTGGAGATGATACTTCTGTCAGTTTAGGTAATAGATTCCTACCACAGCCATCTCTAAGAAAGTAATATACTCCAACTGTATTCTGGAACAAGTAATCAAGATAATTTTCCATACTTCAATGTTAAGCAATTTTGAAATACATAAATGCCATATTAATCGTCCAATATAATTAAAAGTGGAAAATAAATAAATAAATAAGTACCTCTCCCAAGAGCTGCTCTTCAGCAGCAGAGTTCTCCTCCCCATCACTCTGTGCTACTTGGTCAGAGTCTTTAACAGCCTTTAGTACACAAAACAATTACAGAGGAAGTGAAGAATGTAGCATTGAAAGGTTATTAGTGAACAAGGAAGATAAAAGACCCAACCAACAACATTCAGAGATAGTTTAATCATAAGAAGCAGTATTGAGTAATTTTTTTTTTTTTTTGATTGTACTTCAGGTGAAGGCTTACAGAACAAATAGTTTATCCTGAAACAGTAGTACACATATTGTTTTATGACACTGGTTAACAACCCCACAACATGTCAACCCTCTCCCTTCTCGACCTTTTTTTTCTTGGTGAAAATACACATAGCCAAAGATACACCATTAGTATTGAGTAATTTTATTTGAGAAACACCACTAAAGGAAAAAGCAAAGAGCAATATTGTTAACACCTTCCCTTTCTTTCCTACCAAATATCCCTTAACAACAAAGATCTTTTATCTTAATTCAGAAACCTACTCTGAACAATCATTGATTTAATTTTTCCTCTTTTGTGAAACTCAAATACTTCAAGAGAAAAGAAGGCTCTACTAGCTAAACATGTTTTTTAAAAATGAGAATTATTAATTTACTAAACTATCTAGAAGCATTAACTTTTACACTGTGATACTACAAAACAGACACATTTCTTATTTCTTCATTCTTTCCTTATTTGTTATGACCCAAACCAATATTTTAGAATGCAGGTATTTTTAAAGGCCTTCTTACCACATCAGGTCCATCCATTTTGTTCAAGGCCAAAGCAATCTGAAACAAAAATAACAACTCATCTACTAAATGGAATTCTATCTCAGGGTATACAGAAAATATTTACCTCTTACTCCATTCTCACTGACAAAATTCACAAAAATTCAAATGAGAGATAGTATGTTTAATGAAAAAATATCTGTGCAGGACTGGTTCTCAATAGTTCTAGTTTCATTCCTATGGAGGTCTACTGCTCAGATGCTGTCCGACTGCTGTTTATTCACAAAACTAACCTCAAAAAACAAGCATATTTTCTTCTACTTTGTTTTAAATAAATTAACAGGTACTCATGGAAAGAACTGCTACTAGAAGTATTTTTATAATCAGATTCTACTCCTCATTTTTGTTATCAGGCATGCAGTAAAACTTTCATATTAATCTCTTGCAAACCTAAAAAAGTTATGGCATCACGTTTAGACTAATTATAAAAACTCTGAAGGAGTGGGCGAAGACAAATAGCCAGGAAGCAGTGGGACTGTGATGTGACCCTAGGTCTGTGTGACTTCAAAGGGGCACTAATCTTCAATGTGCATGGTACTGCCTAAAGAGTGCAATGAACAACCTGTACCAGGTATAAAACTCTATAATATTACAGGAAACCTTAGCCATTTTCAAAGACTACGGATGAGCTAACACAGCAACAGAACCTACACTATTTCCTTCAACGTTTTCCAAAGGCCGGGTGTCTTTACTGCAGTTGTTGATGTTGATGTGAACAGTGTGAAATAACAATAACAATCTCCTTGAGAGAGGAAACTATAAAACTAGAATATGATTCCCTTTTTGAAAAGGGAATCTTAATAAATTACTCCTGCTCTAAAGTATCTACTAGTTACAAAGCTTGTTAGCTGGACCAAGTAAGCTAAGATCAAGAGTTCCAATTCAGTTTACATTTTTCTGTGCTTTGCTTTTCTCTCAGAAGTTACGTCCTTCTCCCTCCATTCAAGCTTCAAAGACAGAGGCACCTTCAGATGTTCTGTATTTACCACCTGTATCTTTTTAAAAAGACAATCCCAACCTCAATGCCTGTACTAGCATTTTAGAGAACTACATAAAACCGAAGTTCCTCAAACTTTCTTGGTGCCCTTAAATCAGTTAAACCAGCTGCCTTTGAGATGACTTCAACTCACGGTGACTCTGTTTGTCAGAGCAGAGCTCTGCTCGTAGGGTTTTCAATGGCTGATTTTTCAGAAGTAGACTGCCAAGCCTTTCATCTGAGGTGCCTTTGGGTGGACTTGAACTTCAACCTTTTGGTTAGCAGCCAAATGTGCTAACCATTTGCACCACTCAGGGACTCCACAGTGCCCTTAATAATGCAGTAATTTTTTCACAGTGTTCTTGGGCCAAAACAAATGCATTATAGTTTTGTTTATTAAGTAGTTAGGTCCAAACAACTTAATAGTAGTAGTTTGTGTGGTGTCTGACAGATGTTACTCTACCTCCTTTGAAAAATCCATGCCCCTGTAAATTCCTGTGGCACCCCAGGGCACCTGAACACACAGTTTGGGAATTGTGGACTAAAGGCATAAACACAGAATGGAAAATTGTGATCACTTGAAATAATACCCTATTTTTCATCACTTAAGCTATAGTGAACTCAGAGTGACCTCTTAACAGTTTACCTCTCTTTCCCCCCAGGGTCACTGGTTGTACATCCTTACTAAAATCTCAGTGTTATATCCAGTGGTGGAGGCTCACAGTGTCTTCTTTCAAGGCCCAATCCTCCTTGACATAATTCTTAAATCAACTTTGAATTAAAGGTGTTTCTGGTCGGTTAAGTGCTTGACTACTAGCCGAAAGACTAGTGGTTCGAACCCTCCCAGAGGCACCCTGGAAGACAGGCCTGAAGATCTGCTTCCAAAAGGTCACAGCCTTAAAAACCCTATGGAGCAGTTCTATTCTGCACATGTGGGGTTGCCATGAGTTGGAATCAACTCATCGGCAACTAACAATAAAAACAACTGGTAGCTTTAAACCCAGGTATAATGTAGAGTTTCACGTTTAACAATGTGCTCAAAACTATGGCAACCAAGCACACGTTTTTTATTAAATGTTTACTGACTGATTTAACTGGGGTAGAATTTTATTTAAAAAATGCGTACTATATAAATGTTTCATTTGCATAAGCACAGCCATTTCACCTCCAAAACTTTACCTTCTTTCCTAGGTCTTCTTTTCTGTATCCTAGAAGTTCAAGGTATTTTCCACGAGAATCATCCTCAAAGTTTACCTTTTAAAAAAGACACACTCTTAAAAATAAAAGACTTGCATTTAAAGGCCTAATTTTTATAATAATTAATTAAATTCCAAGTAGGATCATTAAACATATCTAAAGCCTACTATTATCAATTAGAAACCTCACTATGAGAAAAAACTCAAAGAATAGTTTTTTGTTGAAATAAGTTTTTTTTCCAATGTAACTTATTTAACACACTAGTAATTAATTATTCCTGGTTGAATAAGGCTTATTTTTGAACTATAATCTTTATAAATACAAACTAACTCATGTCCAAAGATCATACGAATGCACAATTCTCATTATGTGGAACATCCAGTGTCCTGAAATCTCTTTCTCTAAATTAATAATTACAAAATATAAAAATAAATTCTATAATTTTAGAATTTAAGCCTATTATTATATTCAAGATCTCTTTTCTTTGGAAAAGTCAGTATAGAAAATAGACAATAGACATTGCAGTGGAAGCAAAACAATCAACTAGGAAATTCTATTTATTCTATTGTCGTAAATGCAACTCAATAAAAGGAATTTTTTTCTCTCTCTTCTTAAAGGCAAGATACACTCTCTCTACCCTATGCCTCTTCCCTCTTTTCCTATTTTCCTTAACTGAATCTATTACAGAAATTAAATATTCTATGTTCTAATTTTAAAATAGGTCCACTGAGTGTTATATCTCTCACCTAAATATATCTATTACATTGTTTATTGCTTATTTAAAATGTACTTCACATTAGGTGTTCAAAGCAGAGACGGAAGAACTCTTGATGTAAAAAGCTAGGCAGTATGCTCCTGCTGAGGTTTCTTAAATTTCAAAAGTTCCGAAAATCACAGTCTTCCAATTGTTTCTTTAATCAAAAGACTGATTCAAAATATAGTGGGAACAGTTAAGTTTGCAGATAATGAAGTAAAAGTTTTAAATACCAACTTTACCTTCAAAAAAGACCACACATTTTTCTCAAACTCAGTCTGAGAAGCTTCAATTTTTTTCTGACAATAACTGACAAATCCTTGTGACTGCACGACCTGCTGAAGTTGGTCAGACCGGCTGAGGAATTCCTTTTCTGTTACAACTTGGCTAATGACCACATGGTGGTGCTGTTGCTGAGGCTCAGCTCCCTGCTGAGACAGCATTCTGACATTCTCAAAGGTAACCAGTTTGCCTCCAAACTACAAAAAGAACAAATGAACAAAATCAGTTTGAACCACGAGGATATAGCAAAAAAAATGTGTATTCAAAATCCGTTAAAGGGCAGACTGAGGCCTAAACATATAAAAACTAGAATAAAATTAGCTGATATACTCTCCTACACACCACAATCTGGTCCCAAAAAACCAAACCAAACCCACTGCCATTGAGTCGATTCCAACCCATAGCAACCCTACAGGACAGAGAAGAACTGCCCCATAGGGTTTCCAAGAAGTGACTGGTAGATTTGAACTTCTGACCTTTTGGTTAGCAGCCAAGCTCTTAACCACTGTGCCACCAGTGCTCCAACCTTCAATTATTCTCTTCCTCTCCACACAAATGTACTATTTGTGTACTATTTGATAAATGTATTTACTGTGCCCCTCAATTTCTCACCTACTTGTTTTTACTACCTTTCACATACTCAAAGCTACTTATCTTCCAAGGCCCAGAAAATGTCAACTCTCCATGAAGCTTTAGCAGATGCCCTCAGCACATTATATACACATCAGCTATATGTACTTGTCTCACCTAAGTTCTTTTAGGACAGGCCCTATGTCTCCTCTATTCTTTGATTTTCTTATAATACCTACCACATTACCTTGTACATTGCAAGGAGACAGTTAATATCTTGTAATAATATTCATATAAAATAAATTTAGGGGAAAAAGGAAATACATGGCCAAATTTGGTTCTTCATACTCAGTAATGTTTTATACAAGGATTATGGGCTTTACATAACCTTATTTTATTAAATGTCTAATATGTTCAAGATGTGTGTTATGCCAGGCACTGTAGGATATGCCAAGACATAAGAAAACACAAACTATTATCCTTATGGAACTTAACATGAAAATAAAATTAAATATAACAGGCAGACATTAAGTGCTAAATGAGATGCAGATAGTACCACACATAGTATGGAACTTCACATAATGACAAAACCACTGGAGTTCTAGGGACATTGGGTAAAATTGTACATACAAGATCTAAACTAGGTTTCACAAGAGATTAAGTTTATTCATTTTACTTGGTTCTGTAGCAAATATTAAATAATTACAATAATGAGAATATTGTTTGTTAGTCATTACTTTTTTTAAATCAGCCAAAGGACTGAAGATATATTTCTACTGAATATAATACAAATACATACTAAAAGAACTTAGCAATGTAAAAATAATGTAGCTTACAAAAATTGGAAGGGTAGAAGGAAGTATAAATGTACTAATTTAATACTGCATAGAAGAGCTTCAATTATTACTATTTAAAGTTGTTACATCAAGGCATGGGTGTTTAGGTAAATTTATAAAGGTAATCACAAAAATAACTATACAAATTGCAAAATTTCAGTAATGGTAACCTGAAGATATTGGAGGGGGGCATTGATATCCCACCCCTCATGAATCCATGTAGCATAAACCCAAACCCAAACCCACTGCCATCGAGTTGATTCCGACTCATTGCGACCCTACAGGACAGAGTAGAATTGCCCCATAGGGTTTCCAAGAAGTGGCTGGTAGATTCTAACTGCTGACCTCTTGGTTAGCAATGAGCTTTTAACCACTGTGCCACCAGGGCTAATAAAGTAGAGGGAATTTTCATTTTATTCTCGATAAGACAGAAGAGCAGAGAAAGAACACTTTCAGACTCTCTGCCCCTCTCTCTCTCCTGGGAAAGGACTTATTAAGTGACAGTGATTTTCAGGGAAGAAACAGTGCATGCTTGGAGCATGCTTTGGGGCTTCTTTTTGTATCTGTCTTTCTGCATAGAGCTCTAGCACTATGTGGATAAGCTGCCTGCCCCTTCAAAGAAGGCCTCCATTACCTAGGTCTGCCTGTGATGGTTGCCTAATACAGGGGTGAAATTCAAAAACTGTTTTTTAAATTAGATGTTAGGGATATAGATGCAAACAAAAGAGACAAAGGCCCAGCTCTCATGAAAGCTATATTCTAGTCTCTTACAAGGTCCACTGTTGTTGCACATCTAAACCATGGCCTCCAAACCAGCTTTTAGCAGTACTAAAGCTGGTATTTTGATCACCCATCTGTGTTACTTGATTTCAGACTCATACAGGGAAGAGTTATTTATTGTCCTTCTAATACCTTAATACTAGTGAGTGGAGAGGGGTAAACTGGAGGGGAAGAAATTCACTTTTCAGTCCAACAACTAATATATAGTGAACACCTTCTATGTGTCAGGCACTATTCTAGGCACTAGGAACATACCTGTAAACTAGACAGCATTTCTGTCTTCTGGGGGGATGGGGGGTGGGGAGGGTTTCTGTATAGTTTGAATTTTTTAGCCATGTGCATGTATAATTTTACAATAAAAATGTTTTAATTACTCAGAGAAGGAAAGAGCCAATTTGATGAATGGTTAGGAATATAAAAAGTGGTGAAGAAAGTGGAAAGCCACAAGCAAAGCCTAAGATTCAAAGGTGGGAGTATAAACAGTAGAGGAGGCCAGATAGGGGGGATAGGAAATTAAATCCAAAGAGGATTCTCATTTAGTGACATAACCAAAGGACTATTTTAGAATGATTAATCTGGAATATGTAGTATGAATTGGAAGAAGAAAAGATAAGCAATAGACATGCAATCATGCTATTTTAAAACTTTGGGTGTGAAAAAATGAAAATTAGGCAGAGGAGCAGCAATATAAAAGGAAGAAGTAAATTTAAGAACTTATGAAGAAATCAGTGCTTGGACTTGAGGAATGAACGGGGAGGCCAAGGAAGAGTTCTGAGCCTAGTTATTAGAAGAATGGTGGCAATAACTCAAATAACAGTATCTGCAGTTTGGGGCAAGTTGAGTATATAGGATTATATGATGTGTATAATTCTGTTATGATGATAAAAAATGGGATGGAACAAACAAAATGACAAGTTTAATGTTTAAATGACAAGGGTAATATCTAAGTTATAAGCATTATATATCATAAAGTACATAATGATATATATTACTATCTATCATTATGTACGTTAAGAATTTGATTAAACCAGCAGTATAATTATGGGATAGCTAAAAGTTTTATAATTGTGTAACATGAGACAAATTATTTAACCTCTCTGTGCCTCTGTCTTCATTTGTAAAACAGGGGTAATAGCAGTAGCTGTTTTATAAGGTGGTTGTGAGAATTAAATGAATTAATGTATGCAAAATGCTTAGAACAGTACCTGGCACATAGTAAATAATATATTTTAGTAATTAATAACAGTATCAATGAAATTTTATTGTACCTGTAGGCTGTTGGGGGAAAGAGACACAAAATTGGACAAATGGCCTGTCCTACACAACATTTTTAAAAACAGTAGTGAACGAAGAATATTTAGCAAAAGACTATTCTTTTACCTGGTCCACAAGGTTGACCAGAATTTTCTTAAGCCGCAACTTGAGGATCATTACTAAACTGGCAAAGCTGTTGCTTGGGCTCTTCATATGTGTTCACCTTCCCATGACTCTGACTGTCTCTTCCCTCTAACAACCTGAATCTAATCAAACCTTCAGCTCTAACTATGAGTTTGTAGGTAGTAGGGGACATAGAAACATTCTAAAAACTATCAGGCACAGAAAAAGATGTCAAACAATATTATGGGGATACAATCAGCCAAATCCAGAATGTGGTTAATTCTACATAACAAATAACCAAATATATATACATGTCATGGGGATGAAGAAGGGAGAAGGAATTATTATAGATTAAAACAGACTTAAAAGGAGTATCTACTAAATGCAAAAAAGACACTTTTTGTGACAATCAAGAAAATTAATTAGGTATTAGATATTGAGGAATTACTGGTCATTTTATTGCATATGATAACAGTATGGTGGTTATGTTAAAAATAAAATGACAATATATGGAATATATATATGTATACACATATGTGTGTGTGTATGTATATATATATTTATGATACCGTGAAGGCTGGGTGGGGTGGGGTAGGACGGGAAGTAAGAGAAAATGGTAACTGTTGAATCTGGATAATGGATATAGGGCATTCATTATTTACTATTCCTTCTACTTTGGGACATGTTTAAAATTTTCAATAATAAAAAGCTAAAAGGAAGGGAAGGAGGGAGGGAGGGAGGGAGGGCCTCCCTCCCAACAAAAAAAAGAAGAAAGAAGAGAAAGAAGTTTAAAAAAAGGGGAAGCGGGGGAGTAGATCCCACTTTTTCTAAGAAACCTCTTTGAATGATACAAAACACAAAGATATCTCAAACACAAACTTCATCCATTTGAGTGATCCTATAATAACACTTTACTATGAAAAGTCCTTTGTGCCCATAGATCATAAAACAAAATCCAAAATCCACCTACTGAAAAGGAAGCACCGACAGGCCTTCGGATCCACTTGGGTGGCTTCTTCAGAGGCAGCACTATACTATGCTGAGCAGTCTGCTGTGGAATTTGTAATGGAGGAAGGGGCTGTCCTGTGCCAAAGGGATCCAGATTCCCGAAAGATGATGAAAGCTTAAGAAAACCATAACATGAGAATCTGTAACTTATACAAGACTATATTGCATTTTTTCTAGTCATATCCAAAATTTTGAATAATTATCCAGTTAAACAGCATTGTTGATCTGTAAAGTCATTTTCAAAATAATCACACAATACAATTTTTTTTTCAGGCATTAATAATCAAATCCTTAACACTTTCTATTACCTTGTCGACTTGCTTCTGCCTTAAACCATCAGTGCTTCCTCCCATGATGGAATAAACACTGATACGCCCATCAAAGGAAGCAGCTGATAAGACAGCAGGATTTCGGGGACACCACTGAATATCGAAGCACCACTGTGTACTGGTGGGAAGTTCATATAACACCTAAACCCAAAAAAAAAAAAAGTTGGAAAAGGGTATAGATACTTTATAACCAAAACAACTAAACTAATATGATCAGCTAGCACAGCTAAATTAAATATTTTCTTTTAGAAAGTATCTTTAGCCAGGAAAAACAACACTAAGATTTTAAAAATACAAGAACAGTCCATTATGATGGTCTATTACGATAAACGAATACTACTTTAAAAAAATTCAACCACATTCAAAACAAGTACATCTTAAAAACTGAAGTTTTTCTGGTTTTACTGAAATGATATCAGTCGATGCATCTCAAACACTAGAAAACTCTATTTGAGTCAACTTGCTAAACTTCAAAAGATCGATGGTGTCCTGTCCAACTATGTATGCCTGCCAAGACTCAAACAACCCTATTTAGACCTTTTATCTGAAGACAAAGTTTTAAAAATAATCCTGACAGGGAAGAACTCACTGAGAAATCTGGCTTTTAGTCAAGAGAGAGAACATGTGCACACCATTCCTACTGCTGCAGTCATAATACAGAATCGTAACAACCTTTCTTTATAAGGAAAAGAACAAGAAAAGAAGTACAGAAAATGGCTGATATAAAACCCTTAAAATATTATGATTTCTTCTAACTCAAAACGTAGTGGTAACTGCTCCTCAAAAGAGCATGTTTCTTTGTTTTTTTGGGGGGGCGCGGATTTCTGGTAAATTTTAATTTTTGTGTTTTTTTTTTTTACAGAGCAAATTAGTTTCTCATTAAACAATAATACACATATTGTTTTATGACATTGGTTGCCAAACACCATGACACGTCAACACTCTCCACTTCTCGACCATGGGTTCCCATTATCAGCTTTCCTGTCCCCTCCTGCCTTCTCCTCCTTGTCCCTGGGGTGGTGTGCCCATTTAGTCTCTTTTTGTTTTATGACCCTGTATACTTTTGCCGAAGGGTGAACCTCAGGAGTGACTTCAGTACTGAGTTAAAAGGGTGTCCGGAGGTCATACTCTCAGGGTTACTCTAACCTCTTTCAGACCAGGAGGTCTGGTCTTCTTTTGTGAGTTAGAATTTTGTTCTACATTTTTCTCCAGCTCTGTCCGGGGCACTCTAATTGTGATCCCTGTCAGAGCAGTCAGTGGCGGTAGCTGGGCACCATCTAGTTGTGCTAGACTCAGTCTGGTGAAGGCCGTGGTAGCTGTGGTCCATTAGTCCTTTGAACTGATCTTTCCTTTGTACCTTTGGTTTTCTTCATTCTCCCTTGAGGAGCATAAGGTTTTGTGGCATCAAGAAATAAGTCAAATGAGCTCAACTTAGGCTTCATGTGACATTTAAAATATATTTTATAAGAAAACTGAATCAAGTGAAAAGGTACTTAGTCTTCTTATGTCTATGATGCTTAAATTGGCTGATAAGACTAATTACTCTCAGCTTGATAACACTGACCAACACCTGTCTATTCCTAATTTGCCTTTGAATAAAAAATCTGCTAATGTGTTTTAGGTGCAGCACGCACTGAAGTTTATTTAGTTTATTCCTCCAAAGTCTAAGAACACACAATTAATCACATGCAAAAATTCATTTTATCAAATTACATAGCTGAGAAAATTATGACAGACAAATAATTTTCATGAATTTTGAACTTACTTGGTGAGGCATGGTATAAAACGCAAGATTTTTATTATTTATTCTACAAGTCACATGAGGTAAAGTATATTATCTTATATATATTTTTTGTTTCCCCCAACCTTAATGTTTCTATATTCTTATTGACATTGCTGCATCTGAAAATTTTAAACCAGAATCCAAATGACTAAAGTGCTTATTTTTATTTTATCAGGATAGATTTTTAAAAATCTATTGAAGATACTCTTATTTTCACTAGCATTCCACCAGGGCGACTTAAAAAGCTATATTGTAAGCACTTGCAATAACCTACTTTAATTCAGAAAAGATGAAAGTTTAAAAGCTATAATTAAAGTCAGTAGTCTCTTGCCCACTACCGAAAGCAAGGGAAACCATTAAATATTAAGAATGATAAAATAGTTATGAGAGATTTTTAACGCACAACCAAAAGCAAATAAAATTATATTTATGCAGAATGTATGTTTAAAAAAGGTAGAATTTCTATGAGCAGGACCTATGACAAATGCTATATTACAAAGTATTACATGTGAAATAAATCAAATTAAATATTTTTGAATCTAGGCAAACTCATCTTACTGGAAATGTGGAGCCATTATTAGTTTCAAATATAATAACAACTGAATTTTCTGGTTGAAACAGCTGAGTTTAGATAATGCTTCTGATAAAATCTCTGCTGGATTAACACTTCACATATACCTCATCTACCTTCACGTGTCCTCAGTTGTAATAATACACTAATAATCCATATGGAAAATTTCTTATTAGCTAGAAATAAAATATCATAATGACTATAAGGTTTACAAATGTTTCTTCCCTATACCTCTCCTGTGTTTGGGTTGGAGCAGAGAATTTTAGCATCTTTTCCGCAGCTCAGCAACAATTCAGGATCTGCCATGCTCCAAGCAATTGCCAAAATACCCCTATAAAAACACAAAGGGAGAAGGAAATTTTTAATCTTGAGAAAAGCGTATTTCAAATTATTTCTGTCTAGAGTTTTGAGACTCTTACACACTACTGACAATCGAAAATATTAATACAATCTTTCTGGAAAGCAATTAGTAATCTGTATGCTCTTTGATCACTGCAAGGATGCAGGACGTTCACTATAGTGTAGAAGGTATGATAGTAAAAATAAAAACAAAGTAATTGTCCAACAACATGGACTGTGTAATGATAAATCACAGCTCATTTTTTGATGGGAAAATACATACAACATTAAAAATTATGTTGTAGAAATCTATTTCTTACTATCATATGGTGTCCACAATTACTAAAAAAAAGGTTAACTATATGAATTAATTTACATTTGTATACAAATTATATAGATATAATCATGTTATAAAAATTGCATTAATTATTTAAACAAATGGGGCTTTATGTATGTACATAAATAAATTAGACATACACAATGTTTTACCTATAGATCCATGAAAAATGTGACTATTTCACATTTTCTTCTTTGTGTTCATATTTTCTAGCTTTTATTATCAGAGAAATACTTCCTTCATAAGCAGTTGTTTTAATTAAAAGAAAACTAAAAATCTGCCTCACAATGAAGTATTACAGATCTAAATACCAACAATCTGATTTTATACTTCTTTTTGTGGCTTAATAACCTTTTGGACTTTTTTTAACCCTCAGTATTATAAAAGTATTATTTTTTTATAAAAGAGTCTGAAAATTCAGATTAACACAAAGAAAATAAACATCTCCTGTACCTCACCATCCAGAGAAAACCACTATTTACATTTTGTCTCTTCTATATTCCTGTTTTTTTTTTTTAAAAAAAAAATTAAGAGTATAATTAAAAGATGAAGAAGGAAAGTTAACATTACTACACTATGGGGAAAAAAAATACTAGAAACTACAACAGAGAATAAGTTTGGGTATTTCTTCAAACACAACAAAAACTTAGAAGTCCCTGGGTGACGTAAGTGGTTAAGTGCGGAACTACTAACCGAAAGGCTGGCGATTGAAACCTACCCAGAGACACCTCAGAAGTAAGGCCTACTGATGTGCTTCCAAAACGTCACAGTCTTAAAAACCCTATAGAACAGTTCTATTCTGCACATATGGGGTCACCATGAGTTGGCACTGACCTTGGCAGAAACTAACAAGTAACAACAATAACAACGTAATAAATTTCAAGGGTTGTCCCAAAGCATTATGGTATACTTGAATTTTGATATTTTAATTATTACTTGAAAATCCTTTAACACATTTTTGTGCCATTACAATACGATTTAGCTATAACTTCTTGGTATAGAAAATCAGATGACTATTGCTTAAAATAAAATGTAATGCTATAAAAACAAACCACTTATTCTAATTTTTAAGAGACAAAGCAAATTTCCTAAAATTGAAAACGAAAAATAAATAAATAAAAGCCTATCTGATAATTCAGAGTAATAAGTAAATGCATTTAAAAAAATAACAAATCAAGTTCCTTGAAAAAGCCGCATAATACCTGGCATGGTTTTCAAGGACACGGAGTGGAGAGGTGGCAAATCGAAGATCCCACATCTGGATGACAGGTAACCTGTCATCCTCAGAGGCAAGGACCATCTGGGTAGCAACATCAGGATGCCACGCCAATCCAGAACAATGCATCTGCAGACAGTTAAGGCTCACATTTTATCAATCATATTACATTATGAAAAGCCAAAATGAAATTGAGGAATATACCTCGACTGGAGCAAACAGTAAAAAACATCAGCTCAGGCCTAGCTTATTAAAAAAAAAAAACTAACTAAAACTATTAAATTTTACTAAAGTCTTAAAAGTAAAATGTTTGAGTGTTATCAATTCTTCCAGCTATTTGATACATATAGAACCACCACTCTGGGTCAGAATAATTCTACAGCAAAAATGAGTTTTACTGTCAAAATTGTAACTCGGGAAAAGGTTTACACAAATATTTAAAGCAACAACTACAATTTAAATTTTCACAATGGGATAAATCAACATTATTACTAAGAATTATCTGAAAGCTCGGATTCTACTAACGTTCCAGAAGATGACTGAAAAGTTTATTGTATGGTTTATTCCACGGAAACTTGTTTTAAAACTCCTAATTAATTTGGAAAACAACACCCATAAGAAATACTCTTCTCAATAGTTTTTGTCGTTATTACGGTTGTTTTTAAAGTTATGTATGTATTCCCTAATTCAGGCAAACTCATTTTGGAGGATGTCACACTAATCAATGCAGTTAAAAACAAGCAAACAAAATAAAGTTCCTAATTGTGTCCAAGTGATTTTAATGCACCTGATGACAGAAAAATTAATTTGTAAGGTTGAAAATTTACTGTGTTATAGAGCAACACATACTAGAAAGTACCTAAATTAGAGGAAGAGACAAAACGAGGAGTTTGGAAACTATAAGTTCAGAAAAATGAAAATAAAATTCCTAGCAGGAAATTTTACATTCTAGGAAAAGCTAAAGATGAATAAAAAGTTGCTGCAATGCTTTGAAATAGCTAGCAAAGCAAAAAGATCAGTATATCGTAGGTTTCATAAGTAATCTTTCTCTTCATCATTAATAATATCCAACATGGTATGTTACGAACTTTATTATTTTCTCCAAGGGAAAAAACCTTTCATTTCAACATGACGATCAATGAGAAGACAGTATTTGGCGTTACAAAAATTTTGTTACGAACTGTCAAACAATATAGGAAAACCTACACCAGAAATGCAACATGTTTGTCACAAATCAATCACACACTCACCCTGTTATTATGATCACTGACTTTGATGATAGGTTCATTTTTTCTAAGGTCCCACACAGTGGCCCGGCCACTAGGACTTGCTGATGCTAAAATATGCTGAACTTGTCTGTTCCATGCAATGCAGCTGATATCTTCTGGGGGCTACAAGAAATAAATTATTAAAAATCATTTCTCTATTTTAATCAAATTTAACTACAAAATCTAATTTCTTTTTAAAAAATGGCTGACTTAAAAATCTGATATTTCACTCCACAAATTTGCTTTATAATCCCAAGTTCTCAAAATGTACAATTCAGTTTAAAGTACATGTACATGGCATTTTAAATATTTTGTCTTGTTAAATATTGTCTCATTCAACAAGGATTTATTTAGCTCCCACAATAAACCATGCACTGTTCCTTTATTTTGCAACTGCCACAGGTAGAACACATACCACAAAACAGATGGTTGATACAGAGGACAACCAGGCAGAGCAAAAGTTAAGGCCTGGACCGTTAGAAAAATACTTTTATAAATAGTAGAACATATGCTATCATATATTACCTCTCAAATTGTCAAAATGTTAGGGACAAGTTTAATGGTTCTCAAATTGAGTAGTCTATACAATATAAAGAAACTCAAGGAGAAAGGGGAAGGATTGTTCTTACCCAATCTATACCTAGGGAATATACAGAAAAAGGGGTTGAGATCTTTTTTTTTAGTTTCCTTTTCTACTTTACGATTTTTATTCAATGGTTGGATGTTATTTAAATAAAGAGTCGCTATCACATAGAATACAAAAATAATCATATCTAAGGAAATTATTAGTGATTTTTGTCTATCTAGGTCACTTCTGTATACCTAGTACATAGAATAGTGTCTGGCAGGTGGTAAGCACTGAATAAATATTTGCTGTTGAATTAAAGACTCACTAATGCTTTGAAGAAGTGTATTTGTTAATATTTTACTATACAGAAGGATATCAGTGACATAAAAACAAAAATTTTAAACATATATTTTGTGTGAAAAACTTAAAACTGAAATAAATAAATTCAAAAGAACTGTTTTTGGTTAGTTATTCTTCAGATTTCTTAATCAAAATCAATGAAATACCTGTGTTTTGGCTCCTGGTGTCATTGGAGTTGCAAAATTGTTTAGATCCCAAATATAGATTTCAGATTCATTAGCACCAGAGGCTACAAGATTAGTCTGTAATAAAAAATAAATAGCATTTATGAATACTTAAGAGAACTTGGAATAACTCAGTTCAGAGCTAGAGAGATCTGTCACGTAGTTTCAGTTCATACAACTGTTACACTTAATTAAAAACGTAAACCACATAGGCATGAAATCACTATTCTTAAAAAATTATCCATTATAATTCTTAAGCAAAACTTAGTTTTTTTTTTTAGAAAAACATGTTATAATAAAGACAGTAACAAAGAACAATTATATAGATAAGTTCTTAAAAATTTAATCACAAAACCATGTAGCGATTATCATTTGTGGCTCTGCGTTTCTGGAAGGGGTGCTGATTGCGGATGACAACAAAAGGTTAGCAATTATTGCTTTAAGACAAACAGCTGAATTCTAAAACAAAACGCATCTTTTTCAGGATACTCAGAGACAGATTTTGTAGCCAAACAAGATAGGGCTAGTACAATTTCTTATCTTAAATCTCCATTTATTTCTAGTTCATTTACACTCAATCTTGTTTCATGTGGTAATATTTCTAACCTATCTCTGTTATACATCTTTAGGGTCAAAAAGTCCCTGAAATTGTTATAATAGAGTACAGTAAGATAATGAGCCTCATAGATTAACCTGCATCCTTCATTGTCACTCTCACACATTCTTTTCTAATCAACTAGCAAATAACTATGAAGAGAAAGGAATTCTATGGTAGTAGTCACACATAATGCAAGACCATAAAACCCGCTGCCGTTGAGTCAATTCCAACTCATAGCAACCCTACAGGACAGAGTAGAAGCGCCCCATAGGGTTTTCAGGAGCGGCTGGTGGATTTGAACTGCTGACCTTTTGGTTAGCAGCCGAGCTCTTAACAACCGTGCCACCAGGGCTCCACAATGAAAGACTCTTTTACCAAAACAGCTAATGAATCCAATTAACAAAGAACAGCTATCCAATGTAAAAAAACACCACAAACCATACACATGAAGAAGTTTAGGTTTCTATATTTCTATATCCTACCTATTCATAATATAAGAAAAATAACTATTTAGAAGTTTCTTCCTATAATATTCATTTGTGGTTTTTATAGCCTAGTAGTCTATTAACTCAAGATCTTTACTAACCTGTGCATTTATATAATGAATATCATGTTTATGATAACAATAATGGGAAATTAAAGGATCTTATTGGCCTATTTGTAAAATCTGCATTATATTTGTGTTAAGTATGTTTCTCTTATTTGATACAGTAGTAATCTCTTTGTCATAATTACAGAATTTCTCAATTAAATAAAACAGAGAATTAACACAGATACCGTAACACCAGCTAGGTAACAGCTATATATGCTGGAATGGCACAAACTTTTAAAAGCAAAGGCTTCTAATCTATGGGGCTAATGTTTAAAAAAAAAATCAAATCAGTTGGCAGTGAAACCTCTAGTCTTCTAGAATCGAATCTATCAGTCTGATCTCTGAGCTAGTACTACTTACCCTGAGCCCAACTCTGAACTCATTCCTCATATACCACTCACTACTCATCAATCTGCACAGACAACATTTTTAGTTTTCAATTCCAAGACTGAGGCATAGTAAATTCATATACTTATTTCAAAATAGAGCTGTACAGATTTCTAGAATTATTAATAAACATCAAAGTCTAACCTGGAAAATGTTCACATCCAAGGCTCTCACTGGGCCGGTATGCTTGTCATTCTGGGCAATCACAACTTCCTTGTCTCCAGCTATAATTTTAGAAGGATCATAGAGAATAATATTTCCGTTTTCACCACCTGCAATCAGAACTCCAGAGACATTTCCTTTTGAATCCATCTTATGAGGCCCCCAAATCAACTTGTGGTACCTTTAAGATAAAATGAGTAAAATAACTCCTCTTGAAGTCAAAGAAAACAATTTGAAATTGTACATTTAATTGTTTATGCTTTCATAAATACTCCAAAAACAGTGCTGCCCTTCTCCTAATAACCATGTATAACTTCATTGCAATGGCATTTTAATTTTTATTTAAACTCATATCAGTATGTCTGATTTTATATTCCTCCACTCACTGTTACAGAGTAAAAACTTTTATAGAGGTAATGCAGAATGACAAAGTATATTTGATTTGTGTGTCAAAAAATATGGGCTTGAGAATGGTTTTACCATTTAGAAACTGAGACCCTGGACAAGTTACTTCATCTTCCTAAGCTACCTTTGGTTCACCTGTAAGATGGAACTAATCAACCACTTCCCTTGAAAAAAGAAATGAACTCTATTTGGCTTCAGAAGTACTCACTAACAAGTAATTTGTTAAACAGTAAAGATGTTAAATCTGAAATTTTCTAAGGAAAATAATGTATTATGACACTAGAAAAGTAACATCAAAATTCTATTATGACAAGTACCCCTACTGGTGGAGAATAAAACATTATGATCTGGCATGGAGATGTAATATAAAGGTGGCGTAAGTATACATAGTGTACCTGTAAGAAAAACTGCTATGCAAAAGGTTGGGGTTCACACTAGGAGGGTTACCATATTCTCCTAAGAATATGTGAGGTTTCATGAGACACCATGAGTTGAGCTGTATTCTTTTAGCTAAGGTACAATCTTTTCACCAAAACCTGCCAAGTTATTAAAGCAATAAAGCTTATTTTATTACTGAAATGAAAATGTCCTTCGTCTGCATTACGATAGGGCATAAGTACTTGGAAAGGTGGTCAAATACCTACTGTATCAGAAATCATGTCAACCAAATCCTGTGAGATGTATTTTTAAATATAGATAACCACAAAGAAGAAAGTAAAAATTCCCTACAGAGACTACTACTATTAACATTTTAATATACATTCAACTAGTCCTTTTTCTAGTCACACCCACCCTTTCTTGTAAACAGGTAAAATAAAGGAGATGGAAGAAGGTAACTCCACTATACTTGGATGGGGAAAAAATACTAGAAACCAGAGTCTTTCCTACCCTACACATAACAGTAATAATAAAATCAATAGACTATATAAACACTTCTTTTACTTCAAAGAAATTCACTCGTATGCCTTCTCACAAAATATTTCGTCTCACTGATGGCATTCCCTACAGTTTCTAATAGTGGCACAATGGTAGATAAACTAGGAATCACCTACAAAATCAACTGCAATTAAATAATCACATGACTTTAAAGCTGAATTTCGTACCTGTGAGAAGAAGAGAAAGTGGCACAAGATTTCATATCCAAGGATGGATCAGAAAGGTCTAATTCAAATATCTCGAGGGAAGCACTGGTACTAAATGTTGCATCCAATTGCTGAGCAGATGTTCCTATAGAAAATACATTTAGGGTAACTACACATTCAAAAATAAAAGACTCAGAGAAAACCACCCATAATCCAAATTAAAAGCATGTTTTTCTGTTATCTTGCTCAGGAATGCAGCATTAGAAGCTGGTATTTCAGCACATCATCAAGCAGAAGCTTAAATCACAACAGAAATGAGATTCTGGCACAATTAGACAGGGCTGGGAGATGATGTTTGAAAGGGTAGTTTGTAAGAGTAGTACACATTATTTTTTAAGCCTATAGATTTTTTTTAAGGGCTCTCTGTAAAAAACAGTACCGTGATTTACCATTATTTGCTTATAATCATAATGACATAAGCCTAACTCTTTTTACATAAAAGTACTGGCATCAAAACTGCCTTTCATTCATTCAAATTGATATTTATTAACTGTCTTTTACATGTTAGCCATCATGGTTAATATTAGAAGAATAAAGACGGGCAAAACACAACCTCTGTGAAGTGAGAAGACACTATACATGTAATATATCATGATCAATGCTATGATGTACAGGGTGCTATGGAACACAGAGGAAGGTCACTGAACTCAGCAGATAGAAAGGATGGAGTATTTTGCCAGGGAAGGAAGGAGAGGCTTTCCAGAAGATGATGCTTTAACTGAATCTTAAAGGACAAGTACAAATAAACCAAATACAGAAAAGATTAGGTTACTCACACTATCTTCTCTTTGGAACTTACCTGTAGCTAGGTAAATGGGATGATTCTGGGCAGGGCTCCATGCCTGCATGGCAGTGCGATCTACTTCCTTTAACTTCATCCTGGTGAAGAGAACATTCCACATAGAACATACTGAACATGTAACATGGAACACAGAAACATGATTTACATAGAAACATACTGCAACATTAGTAACACCAAGGTGCCAATGAATTAAATTGGTTTAGCTGTTACTTGTTAAAAATAAGAAAAACTTGTTTAATTATTTTTAGACCTTATATAAAACAAGGGCTATTCTAATTGTTCACAGATTGCAGCCCTTCAGTTAAAAAATCAATTTGCAAAAAAAAAAAAAAAAAATTACAAAAAAAAAATGCAGGATAATATATATGAAGAATTAACTTTGATACACACAGTACTTCTCAAACAAGGATGGGTGATAAGTACCAGGGGTAAGAAAAATCACATAATAAACTTCCTGGGGCAGTTTTACTCAATGGTAAGCCAAAAGAAAACCAAGCCCGTTGCTGTCAAGTCGATTCCGACTCAGAGCAACCCTATATCTGTTTTAAATTAAAACAGACTTACTACAGAGAAGAATATACTAAATCCACAGATTTTTAAGAAAAGCAGAAATCTTTAGGACACTGGTCACTTCAAGTTACAATCCCACATAAACAGAGCAAACCCATTCCCAACAAATCCATTTTGACTCATGGTGACCCTATAGGACAGAGTAGAATTGTCCCAGAGTTTCCAAGGAGCAGCTGGCGGATTCGAACTGTCAACCTTTTGGTTAGCAGCTGAGCTCTTAACCACCGCGTGACCAGCACTCCACAGTCCTGCATACCACTTGTTTACATATTCTCCTCTGTCATTAAAGTCACTATGGTGGAAAAATTCAAGAGGTATTGTGCTACACCTTTAAAAAAAATCTTTGTTATTTCTATATCGATAATACATACAAATGATTTAAAATCAAACAATATAAAAACAGAGAAGTCTTGTTCCTGTCTGTGCTCCCAAGTCTGTTTCTCCCATCCCCACTTTTATTAGTTTTGTGTTCTTTCAGCTTTTTTATGTATAAACATACTTATTCTTATATTTCCACCTAGCATTTAATGTAAATAAAAATTCAGTGTAAATAAATATAATTAAATAAAAATATAAATTTAAGTATAAACATTTATCTTTCCACGTAGCATAATGAAGCACTGTTCTATACCTTTTTGGGTGCTTTCGATATGAGTATCCCCATTTCTTTTTCACAATGGCATTGTATTCCATTGTAAAGATGTATTTATGATTTACTCAGAATCCTACTAATGAATACCTGAGTTGTTACTATTCTTTTGCTATTTTTATAAACAATGTGAAATGGCCATATATGAATGTTATTTCATACATGGGCAGAGATAACTATAAAATCCCAGAAGTAGAATTGTTGGGTCAAATGATAAATGTAATTTTAATTTTGAGGGATATTGCCCAGTTGCCCTCCATAGCAACCGTACCTACTCACATTGTCAAGAATAATATGATTATCTGTTGCCCCACAGTCTCACATTTGTATGGTCACACTTTTGGATTTTTACCAACATGATAGGTGAAAAACAAGCTCTGTGTAGTTATAATTTGCATTTCTCCTACTATAAATGATGTTGTGTGTCTTTTTATATGATTACGGGTCATCTATATTTCTGTCACCTACTTATTCATGTCTATTTGTATCACTTGCCCATTTTTCTATTATGTTGTCAGACTTTTTCTTATTGATTTTTTAAAATTCTGTATTTTAGGATGATTAACCTTTTGTCTGTGATATGAATAGCAAATACTTTTTCCAGATTTTCTCATTCGCTTATGATATGTATTTTTTTTACCTTTCAGAAGATTTTTATATAGTCTAATTTGTCAGTCTTTTTTTTAATGATTTCTGAATTCTGATTAGTTAGAAAGGCCTTCTCCATTCCAAGGTTATGAAGAAATTCACCTATATATTCCTTCTACTACATTCTTCACATTTAAATTTTGACCCACCTGGAGTATATCCAGCGCCCTGGTGATGCAGTGGTTAAGTGATATGGCTGCCAATCAAAAGATCAGCAGTTCAAACCCACCAGCCACTCCTTGGAAATTCTATAAGGCAGTTAGCTCCACTCTGTCCTCTAGGGTCACTATGGGTCGGAATCGACTCGACAGCAAAGAGGTTGGTTTTGGGCTTTGGAGTATATCCTGGTATACAATGTGAGTTCAAAGTTTATTTCTTCTTGTTGCTCCAAAACCATTAAAAAGTTTCTCTTTTTCCTAATAATTTTAGATATCACCTTTATCATGCAATAAACTCCTGTATTGAGGTTTATTTCTGGATTTACTATTTCATTCCTCATGCTAGTTTGTTTATTTACATCCTAGGTACTACACTGCTTTAAATTTGTTGTTGTTATGTACTTGTCAAGTGGATTTCGACTCATAGTGACCTCAGGTGACAGAGCAGAACTGCCTCATAGGGTTTCTAGGCTGTAATCTTTACGGGAGCAGATTGCCAGGTCTTTCAACCATGGAGCCGCTGGGTAGGTTGGAACTACCATCCTTTTGGTTAGCAGCCAAGTGCTTAATAATTGCACCACCAAAGCTCCTATATTGCTTTAAATACTGAACTTTGTATAAGTGATGATTTTAATAACCCCTTCCAATTGCTTTTTTTTCCCCCTAATTTCCCTCGCTATTACTGTGGTCTTCCGTTATATTGTTTTTCTTCTTGTTATTGTCTATATGATGGCTAATGATTTCTTTATATTAATTTTGTACCCTGCTACCTTACTGAATTCTCTTATTGAAACAGTTTTTCAGTAGCCTCTGTTGGGTTTTTTCAACACTCACACCACCTGCCATTAGTGACAGTAACCTACTCGTTTCAAATTCTTTTTCTTCTAGTTTCTCTCTTGCCTGAGTTAGCTAGTATTTGTGATAACAGTGAAATTTCTTGCCTTGCTCCTTTATTAGGAACGCATAGCATAACTTCATTGAGTATGATTTTGGGGTTTGAGATATACATGTGTACATATATATAGATGTAAATGTATATAATGTTAAGGAAACAGCCATCAATTACTGTTTTATTAATGCCACTTTTGAAGACTGGGTGCTGAATTTTGTCAAATAATTTTTTTTTTAATAATTTATTTTTTTT